GGTATATAACCATGCTTTCTCATCATCATAGGTCGAGTGGATCCTCATCCACTCTACTCACCATATAACTAGTTAACACTTCAGCATAAGTATACATTAGTTTCAGTCAGCATAGCAGCAATCTATCAAGGTTGCTCCTCATCGTAGTGTGTGTGTTGTATCACCACTACCTGACGTCCGAAGGCGCCCATAGCAGGTTAGCAGTCTGGATATAGATAGAACCGAAGGCAGTAGTCCACTGTGGTCTGGGGATCACTTCAAGCATAAAGTCAACACACTGGACACTCGTGTTGACGCCACCAACCACCAACACCACCAACCTCATTATCATCGACATTCACCAACCTTATCACCCAACACCATCAACCTCATCATCATCAACACTCACACCAGACCTTGGTGTCAACATAACCTACGTATTGATATTGATCGTGCTGAGCTACCCCTGAACGGAGTGTCCACAGAGGTCAGCCGAAACCTACGATAGTATATACAACGAACACCACCTGCTGTCACTGCACAACTTGATAGTCACCGATACCGAGACAATAGCTGTCACACAGTTTGATAGTCACTGAGTATCTCGACAGACCAACCTGGGTTTCAGGCGCGAGACCCCTGACATTAGAGTGGATCGTTCAAGCAGCTCCTCACAATCACCATGACAGACCCAGACCTCAACAATAAGCTCGATAGACTACTCACTCTATTGGAAGCACAGCTAGAGCTTACCAGACAGGGTCATCGAGAGGAACGATTACAACGAGCTCAACTGAGCAGGGAGGAGACAATGGACCTCTCTCACTCAGAAGACCAAGCAGGAGGAGGAGATGAGTCTATGATAGGAGACCCACATACTCCTACTCCAGCACCGTGACCAAGACGATCAGTCTCATTCAACCTGGAGGAGCAGGAGGACATCAACTACGAGAAGTATGCTTCACCTACTGGGCCAAGATATGTCAAGACTAAGCTGGACCCCTACAGCAGGACTAGGACAGACCCTTACCCCCTGGACCACGAGGAGGACACCAGCATCATGGCAGAGCTTAACCAGTCAAAGCCCATTGCCACCCCCTTTCCAAAGTTCAATCCCCGAGACATGGAGATCTTCATTCTAGAAGCTGAAGCATGGTTTAAGTTCAACCAGGTGTATGAGCAGTCTAGGATGATCAATCACATGGGTGCTCAACTGGAAGGGACAGCAAGAGAGTGGTGGACCTCCAAGCTCCGCATTGATAGAGCTAGAGAAGGAAGGTTGTTCAATGATTGGCACTACTTCACAGAGCAACTGTCAGAGCAGTTCAACCCATGCAATGCTAGGATGGAGGCATACAACAAGCTGTTGGCTCTCAGACTCACAAGTGATGCTCCTGGTGCTGCCACACATCATGTAGAGCATTTCAGGGACTTGGAGGGACAGGTCAACCTAGATGACAATGAGCTAGTGATTGATCTCTTCAGAGGAAGTCTCACTCGCAGCATACAGGAGAAGTTCGAGAGGAATCCACCTGGGAAGAGATGGGAGTGGTATTGAGAGGTCGAGGAGATCGATCGACAGAGGATGCTACTACAGCAGTCCTCGGCTAGACACTTACTCCCAAATGCCATGTCACCTCCACTAAGAACTGGGTCTCAGCCAAATCAAAGCTCGGTCCCCATCCATCAACCCACTCAACCTTATCCAGCTTGATCACCAGCACAAGCAACTACACAAGCAACTATACAAAACCTAAACTGACCAACTAACCAACCCCTTCCTCATCATCCCACCCAAACCTCGAAGCAAGGAAGCCCTGCTCCATCAGGTATCAACACCTGTCATGTATGCAAGGGTATCGGCCATTGGGCCAGAGACTGCCCCAGCAGGAGGGTAGACCCTCTTAGCTCTCGACCCATGGGACCAAAGGTTATGGTCACCACAGCAGACCCCTTTGAGGAGGCCACCGACTCAGGAGATGGCCACACAGGCAGCACTGAGACTGACCCCGAGGCCATGGACCTCAGCTCATACCAGCAACCCATGGACCTCGACCATGAGGAGGAGGAGCATGATGATGATGACGATGAGGGAAACGTCAGTGGGGTGATGCACTGATGGCATGCATTGCTCTACAAACCTCCTCGCCATCACTCTGTATATATCAAGATTGTCAAGTATGTTTCTCTACCAGTGGAGGCAAAGCAGTACTGGAGCTCTCTGGAATGGTTCAAGACCATCCTGCTCGGATACTAGCTGATACTGGTGCTGGTTTGTCCATAGTCTCAGATTCTTTCATTAGTAAGTACCAAATACCCACAAAACCCATAAAAACAAGATCAATCCATGGTGTCACCGGGCACCGACTCTCCATCAATAGTTCTGCGAACATGCAGGTATCTATTGGTACACACAATCTGGGTGTGGTCGAAGCTTCAGTGGCCGACACTGCGGACTATGACCTCATCCTGGGGTTCACTGAGCTACGGAGGCTCAAACCCACCATACAATGGGATATGGGCCAGCTGGAGTTCAAGACTCAGGAGCAGGACCGACCCCCAAGGAGACCCCCTGAAGCAGCAAGAGCAGGGGACCTAACCATGAGGAGACCAACCCTTCATGGTAATGAGTTTGTCTCAGCAGAGCACATACTACGAGCAGCTCTAGAAGATGGACCCATAGGGTTCATGCTGTTGGAGGAGCCACCATCATCACTCCCAGCCTTTGGTTTTGTACCTACAGGCACAGACAAAGGAGTCGAGATGGAGGTGGAGGTAGACAAGGTGGTGACGGCTGCAGACATACCAAAGCCATACCAACACCTGCAAGATGTGTTTGATGAGGTGGAAGCAGACAAGCTGCCCCATCATACCAAGCATGATCTCCACCTCGAGTTGATAGAAGGAGGTAAGCCACCTCAAGGGCACCTATACCTTAAGGGACCCAAGGAGATGTCCGAGGGTATTTGGATGAGAACCTCGAGAAGGGGTTCATAAGACCATCGAAGAGCCCAGCACAATCACCAGTGCTCTTCGTACCAAAGAAGGATGGAGGTCTCAGACTCTGTGTGGACTACAGAGGTCTCAACGAGATCACTGTCAAGAACAGGGCACCATTGCCCCTCATCGAGGAGCAGCTGTTCTTACTCAGGAAGGCAAGGATCTATACCAAGCTAGACCTTAGAGCAGCATACAACCTCATCCGGATTGCTAAAGGAGATGAATGGAAGACAGCTTTTGGCACTCAGTTGGGACTCTATGAGTACCTAGTGATGCCCTTTGGCCTAGCCAATGCTCTGGCTCACTTCCAGTCATTCATCAATGACATCTTCTGAGACATCATTGGGATATATGTGGTAGTATACCTAGATGACTTCCTGATCTTCAGTGACACTGAAGAAGCACATGTGAAGCATGTCACCAAGGTCCTCACTTGCTTAAGGAGCAACAGGCTCTTTGCTAAGCTGTCGAAGTGTGAGTTCCACACCAAGACAGTCGAGTTCCTGGGGTACATCATCAAGCTGATGGGCATAGAGATGGACCCAGAAAAGGTGCACACTGTCAAGGAGTGGCCAATGCCAGAGTCAATCCATGACATCCAAAGGTTCCTGGGTTTTGCCAACTTCTATTGAAGGTTCATAGCCCACTTTGCTCGCATAGCCAAGCCCTTGACATCACTGGTAAAGCCTATAGAATGGTTCAAGAAGTTCGAGCTACCAGAGGAGGCCCAACAGGCCTTCCACAAGCTCATCCAGGCATTCACATCAGCAGGAGTGCTTCAGCACTTCGACTACCACCTTCCAACAAGGTTGGAAACTGATTCAAGTGACTTTGCTATAGCAGGAGTACTCAAGCAGGAGCATGAAGGACGATGGCATCCAGTGGCCTTCTACTCTAGGAAGATGTCTTCTGCCGAGAAGAACTATGAGATCCATGACAAGGAGCTCCTAGCTGTGGTCGCCTGCCTCACTCAGTGGCAACACATGCTAGCTGGACTACCGAGCCAACTGGTCATCCTCACCGACCATGAAGCCCTCAAGTACTTCAAGTCACAGAGATGCATCACAGGTTGACAGGCTCAATGGGCCATACTACTAGCAGACTTCGACTTCATATTGCAGTATCGACCAGGAGACAAAGGTGGTGAACCCGATGCTCTCACCAGAAGGACAGACATGCAACCAGCTGGTGAAGAGCAGGATCACAATGTGAGGCAACTACTGCCTCCTCGAGTGTTCAAGGAGACAGCAGACCATGACTCGACCCTAGTGGCCCCTATGCTCTCGATGGAGTCCATAGCATCAAAAGGTCTCAGAGACCTGGTCAAGATCTTCCAGCCCTTAGACCAAGAGCTACAGGAGATACATAGGAAGAAGCCCTTCGAGGTCAAGGACGACCTATGGTACAGTGGAGGAAGGTTGGTTATCCCCAAAGTGATCATGCCAGGGAGGACCAATAACCGACACTCAAGGAGTGCCAAAGAGGTAGATGGACAGTCTCTCTCTGTAGAGCATCTGCGATTCATGGTGATGACCCAATGCCATGATGGTATTACTGCTGGACACATAGGAAGAGATGCTACCATCAAGGCAGCTCAATGACATTACTGGTGGCCAAACATGACAGCTTGGATTGCAGACTATGTAGCAAGTTGTCCTGTATGTGCTAGGTACAAAGCTCCTCGTCACCATTCATATGGTTTGCTACAGCCACTAGCAACACCAGACAGGCCCTGGGGCTCCATATCCCTTGACTTCATCAAAGGACTACCACCATCGAAGAAGTATGACTCCAAGACCTATGACTCTATCTTAGTCATTGTTGACAGGTTAACCAAGTTTGCCATACTAGCTCCAACCCATAAGACAGTCATGGCCAAACAGACTGCAGTGTTGCTATATGGACACATGGTTAGACTCTTTGGATACCCAGATCACATGGTCTTGGACTGAGGCAGGCAGTTCATATCAGGAGCATGGAAGGCATTCACAGAACAAATGGGTGTGAAGCACTCACTTAGCATGGCTTACCATCCTCAAACTGATGGTCAGACAGAGAGGGTCAATCAGGTCATAGAGCAATACCTAAGGATGTACTGCAACTATGAGCAGGATGACTGGGCCAACCTGCTGGACACTGCAGCCTTTGTATACAACAACATGGTCCACAACAGCATTGGTGTCTCACCATTCTTTGCATGCTATGGATGGAACCCCAAAGCTCATCCTGACATCCCTCAACAACTAGGAGTCAATGATCCAGGTCGCTTCGAGTACCTCAAGGATGGAAAGGAGTGTTGCAAGTACCTCCAGGAGCAGATCAGAGAGGCACAACGTAGATCAGTAGACCAGTATAACAGGAAGCACAAGGACATCGAGTTTAAGGTGGGTGATATGGTCTATATCAACCATCGAAACTGGAAGACAAGGAGACCCACACCCAAGTTAGATACCCAGTTTGCAGGGCCCTACCCAGTTCAGGAATGGGTAGGATGCCGAGCTTATCAAATCACATTGCCAGCAAACCTTAGGGTGCATGATGTGTTCCATGTCTCCATGCTCGAGCCAGCAAGAACAAGTTCTCTTCCTCAACGTGCTGAACAGCCCACCATACCATCACTTCCAGATGAGGACCTCGACTTTGAAGTCGAAGCACTCATTGACAAGCGTTCCCACAATGGGACTACAGAGTACAAAGTGTTGTGGAGAGGGTACTCAGAAGAAGCTGCTTCATGGGAACCAGTAGAGAACCTCAACTGCCCCGACCTCATCCAGGAGTATGAGGTGTCGGAGGGGGGACGAGTGAGTAGACAAAGTAGAGAAAGGAGGAGAGAACAGGAGGAGTAGAGAGAGGAAGAGAGAACAGGAGGAGTAGAGAGAGGAAGAGGAAGGAGGATGACGTTGAGAGAAGGAGGAAGGATGATGTTAGCGATGTTGTCGAGGAGGAGGAGGAGGAGTCAGCATGAACCAGACCAGAGCATGCCTCGATGGAGCTCGGCTCTTAAGAGGGGGGTAGTGTCATGGGCCTGGATGCTCAAGAAGCAGGAGGGTCACTGGTTCATATGGAAGGAGCACAGGTATCGAAGATCTAGTTGATACCAGTAGAGAGCATGGTCATAGTGCAGTCTCCATGGAGACCATGGACTCCTATGGACTCACATGCAAAGGAGAACCAAGCCACATGCGAGGAGGGCCAGGCACAGCCATGAGGAGGACCAAGCTCAAGGAGCAGGCACAGCCACGAAGAGGACCAAGCTCAGATGGTTACCACTCAGGGGCTCAAGAGACAAGAGTCATAGGACACTGGCAAGCAGGTCATGAGGAGGAGGAGCAGTGTCAAAGGAGTCGACACCAGGTCATGAGGAGGAGGAGCAGTGTCAAAGGAGTCGACACCACTCAAGAGGCACAGGGGCGCCAAGCAGGAGAGGCCCCTGAGCAGTACTCGATGAAGAAGGTACTCTCTGGAGAGAGAGCAGGAGCAGCATCGCTGGCAATGCTGTGAAGAGGTATATAACCATGCTTTCTCATCATCATAGGTCGAGTGGATCCTCATCCACTCTACTCACCATATAACTAGTTAACACTTCAGCATAAGTATACATTAGTTTCAGTCAGCATAGCAGCAATCTATCAAGGTTGCTCCTCATCATAGTGTGTGTGTTGTATCACCACTACCTGACATCCGAAGGCACCCATAGCAGGTTAGCAGTCCGGATATAGATAGAACTGAAGGCAGTAGTCCACTGCGGTCTGGGGATCACTTCAAGTGTCAAAGTCAACACACTGGACACTCGTGTTGATGCCACCAACCTTATCACCAACACCATCAACCTCATTATTGTCAACACTCACCAACATTATCACCAACATCATCAACCTCATCATCATCAACACTCACCAACCTTATCACCAACGTCATCAACCTCATCATCATCAACACTCACACCAGACCTTGGTGTCATCATAACCAAAGCATTGATATTGATCATGCCGAGCTACCCCTGAATGGAGTGTCCACAGAGGTCAGCCGAAACCTATGATAGTATATACAATGAATGCCACCTGCTGTCACTGCGCAACTTGATAGTCACCAATACTGGGACAATAGCTGTCACACAGTTTGATAGTCACCGAGTATCTTGACAGACCGACCTGGGTTTCAGGCGCGAGACCCCTGACACTGCACTACAACCATGCTCTCTACTGGTATCGACTAGATCTCCGATACCTGTGCTCCTTCCATATGAACCAGTGACCCTCCTGCTTCTTGAGCATTCAGGCCCATGACACATCTCTGTCTCAGTTTAGGTCAATGTCTCAACATCATCTGCGTGGTCATCGACACCCCTGTGTGATTGCATCTCAGACACAGTAACCATCATGTGCTTTGCTGATTGCTTCCCTGACCCTGATGCCAACTCATATCCCAGATGGCATGACAAGCACAACAACATCCATGCCATTCTGACCAAGATGATGCTCATCATCATGTCTGTGACACTGTGGGCTCAATGGATCAAAGGGATCAAAAAGCATGCCCCACACTGTATGGACATTGACAAACTCAAGGTGCACAATCACAAGTGGTGGTCCACCTCTGGCATGTGGGTCAGACTTCATGCATGATCATGTCCATATCTACACTGCCAATTCGAAGGGTCTCATCACTAAGGATTGATAGAGCATACTGGATTGAGAGGGGGTGTTGAAGATTACAATCCAGTGATGATGCTAAGAGGTGATGCAAAGACAATGAGATCAGAGATCAGGGATAACCAATCCTTAACAGGATCAGGTACAACCAAGTCCCACTTGTTGTCAGGCTAGGTCATTAATTATAGAAACTCCCACATTCAGCATGTACCACACTTTTGTATATATATTGAGCAGGGAGTGCTAGGCTCTCACCATGTTCACTCAGTCAATTGAGTATATTTGTTCTGTCTATAAACTAGCAGCGACATTGTACTTAGACTCTCCCCGATTGCCAGTATCGGGACCGAAACGACTCCAGTTTCTAACAAATGTACGTACAAAGTGTTCTGCTACCTAATCTTCACCCCTCACCAACATATAAGAGACTGTCAACGAGTCTAGATCATTTCCTACCAAACAAACAACAGAGTTGTCACAGTAGCGCAAATATGTTTACCGGAATTGGTGAGTGCAACCTTACCCGTACTAAGGCTAACCTTCCTGCCGACAGTGACTGACGACCATCAATTTGTATTGTTACTTCTGCTTGCAGTCGAGCTTCTGGCTCCCATCATCGACATCTCGCCTCGAGATGCCACCAAGTCAGGAGGTGGAGGCTACTCCATGACCATCGGCAAAACCGCTCCCATTCTCAAAGACTGTCACATCGGAGACAGTATCGCAGTCAACGGCACCTGTCTCACCGTCACCGAATTTGACACCAACGAATCCAACCAAGGCGGCTACTTCAAGATCGGCGTCGCACCTGAAACGCTCAAAAAGACCAACCTCGGCGGACTCAAAGTCGGCGATGGAGTCAACTGCGAACGTGCAATGGATGCACACACACGTTTTGGAGGTCACTTCGTTCAAGGTCACGTCGATACTACCGCTCTCATTCGCTCCGTAGTTCCGACAGGAAACGCTTTGACTATCACTCTGAGACTGCAGCACAAACCAGACCAGCTCCCACTTCCATCCAGCCTTTCACCATACCTCATCCCTAAGGGGTACGTCACACTGGACGGCGCATCGCTGACGCTGATCGAAGTGTCGCCAGCAACAGGCGGCTTGTTGCCCTCCAACTCGACAGCAGGTGATGTAAGGGAAGATGCACAGACACCGAAGAAGGAAATCGTCGAGTTCTCAGTGATGCTCATCGCACACACGCAGGAGGTTATCGGGCTTAGCAGGAAGAAACCTGGTGACACGGTCAATGTGGAGCTGGACATGGTTGGGAAGTATGTACACCGTGCAGTTTTGGGCTCCCTGGAGAGGGACGCAGAGGAGTATGCCGAGGCGGCCAACTCGGTGGATGCTGGTAGAAACGCTGTTGACAATGCGGTGGGACCTGCTTCGTCGCAGGCGTTGGAGGGTATGGTCGAGAGGATAGTGCGAAAGGTGCTTAGCGAGCAGAAGTAAGGTTTCGGAATGGTGAAGAGCTTGCAGCCTTTTCTTCATGGTACAATACCTATGTTTGACATAAACCACTATGATGTTGGAGTGTCACCGTTTAGAAGGTCTAACATGTTGGCAGGTTTCTTGTCTCTCGTTGCAGAACCATCTCGACGACAAAGCCTCCGAAGTACGCGTGCGGAAGTTAGGAATCCCTTCGTTTGAGACTGCTGCGACCACTTCGTTCCTGTAGTGCATGGCATCCGATCAAGATTAATCCAATCGCGCCCCTCGCTTTCGATCGAATCCATAGAACGATTCGTGAAACGTCGAGTCGAACGCAATATCTCCGCCTTGCTCACTTCTTCAAACTTTTCCATCGACTCTACAATTGCCGTTAAGTCCAGAATGAGATGAGTGCTCGTGAACTTTGCCCGAATGACAGCTTTTCTCGGCAGAAGCCCTTCGTGAAGAAAACCTCGAAGAAGCTCGATATCGCTTGGCACAACCGTGAAGTTGTTCTCAACGTCGCCAAGAGTAAATAGAACCAGGATATCGGATAGGACAGTTTCGCTAAGGACTCCTTGCAGGCACAGCTCGGTCACAGCGACAAGAGTTTCGACAGATAGCGCAGCACCACGGGTTGTCCTCTCCATGTCCTTCAGGTAATGACTGACCGCCGGACCCGAGCCCTTGCCTTGTCGAGCGGTCTTTGTTGTACGTGTCTTGTTCAGCAGCTTAGCAAAGGGAGGAAGCTTGACACCTCCGGCCTCGTCTTTGCTACCGTGTGACGTTGAGCTTGAGGTGTCGACGTCAAAGATGCCAAAGTGAATGAAGACCAGAGCCACAAGACCATCATAGACTGGATTGTTGACCTAAGCGGGGGCAAAACTTGATGATGAAAGTGAGTCAGTGTCGGCTCAAGTCATGAGACTGGCTGAGGGTTTGGTGAGAACTCACCTGCTGGACACGACTGCACCGAGTTAAAGCTTCATCCACACAACCACCAGCGAAGCTGTACCATCCTACACAGGTGGGTGGGATAGTATCTAGATGTTCTCTGATGAAGCGTCTGACACGGTCTGAAGTGAGACGAGCATCGTGACAGTAATGTCGCCATTGTCCACGTCAGCTTCATATGCCGGCATGTATCAAGTGGGCTTCGGCGTGCTTCCTCAAAATCGCAGCTCGCCGACATGGTCCACTTACCAGTATTGAGAAAGTGCATATAGGCAATGATCTGACGTGCAATCAGCGAACTAACGTGATATGAAGTAGTTTGCTTGACTTGCTTTACGAGGATGCGTATTCTCCTCTATTTGAACGAAATCGATGTAGGGTCAGAAGAGTTTCAAATCTAGACAGCCTTGGTACACGGACTCACCTCTACGACCTCGCACTGATGAGTTCGGGCGATTTCATTCTTGAGCGATGCAGTCACGGATAGGAACGTGCTTGACGATTCACACGAGGAGCCGGGCTGGGTCAGTGCGGGAGAAGAAGGCAATATGGGTTTGGCGACACGCGCGCTCCCCCTTTTGTATGCTACATTCTCTCCGAGTGTGGGCGGTGGGCAGTGTTCGCCTTCGGGATCGCTGCGGACTTCCACGTCCTGCGCGATGTCCATGAGGGCGAAATCGTGGAAACTGAACTCTGCAAAAGGATGGTTCCTGATGGTCTCGCTGAGGTCAGACTTGTGGGAGACGGCGTCGTCCGAAGTGCTCCGCCCCATCTCATCTTGTGAGCGGAGCCGCTTCAAAACCAACGCGATCCTGTCGGCCGCGGCTTCTGTTTTTTCTGTCAGCTGCGCAACATCATGCTTGAGCCCGTGAAGCTCTTGGCGCAGATGTGATGCGATTGCGCTGGTGGGTGGAAGCGGCCAAGAGGTGGGCAGATTGATGCTCTGCATTGTCGATAGAAGTACAGCTGCTATAGTGGGCGGAGGGTGGCTGAGGTCGGGAAGGATGTACCAGACAAGAAAGCTACTCAGCTTTCCGCATACTGCTGCTGTATATGTGGCGACCGCGGCACCGATTGATTTGTGAGCTTGAGGTTGAGCCGGTACCAGCGGACTGGCGCTGCCGCTCAATTCTCAGACAAGAACGGCCACAGTGGCGGCAGAGGAGCCTCAATTTCGAGATGAAGACAGGAGAACTTTGCGGTTCGTAGAAATCGAGTGGTCTTGGAAGAAAATCCAGCATCATGGCGCATTCCTGCTCGGAACTATCACATGTGCAGTCATCAATGGTGGCTTCATCATACCGACAGCCCACCGAGCAGGAAATCATCACAGCCTCACTGAGAGAGACAGAGCCACCTTCCTTGTCACTTTGCGTCGCCGTGTGACTTCATTGTAGAAATGCGAACCTCAATCTGCACTGCAAAGGAACTATGACAAAAGATGGGTATTTTTCCCACGCATTGCACTTCGGACATCATTGCTAAGCGTGAAGTCACAGAGCCACAATGAAAGGCATCCTTCTTGAAACGTTCGCTGTTTTTCAGTCACCTTAGCTGATTGTGACTGGAAATGGACCGTTGATGACTGCCGAACTCGGACTCGTGCAGCACGAACCGCTGAGCTCTGCGAGAGCCATAGCGCCCACATGTTTCAGCAACAGGTGGTATATAGGGAGGTCAGATTCGAACAGCTGTGGTTCCTTACCAAGTCGAACTTCAATCATCATCATCGGAACATCCGCATCATGCACGCTCCTATGTTCACCGCTGCCGTCCTCGTTGGCGCCTTTGCTTTGCAAGTCAGCGCATCCGCGCCTCGATGCAATTTCGAATACCTCGAGAAAAAAGGTCTTCAAGCACCAACTGGCTGTCCTGCTGATGAGAAAAATTGGACTCACTGCTGTCTCGTTCCCATGTCCAACTATGATCGGCAGCATCCGAAGGTTGGTTCTTACACTGGGTGAGTTTGCATCAACTCTGCGATCAAGAGAATCAAGTGATCCCGTCTCTGATCCAAAGGTTACTTTTTTTTGTCCGCCTCGAAACTAACAGCGTCTGTGCGGTCGACCCAATGATCAAGGAGGGCGAGTCAGACATCTGTCGACTCCTCAACGACCGCCTCCACAACTGGCACCCTTGAACCTTATATCGACGCCAAATCTCGCTTTAACACAATCGTTCCTGTTGATGCTCAAGAATATTGTCTATTGCCATGATCACACTGATTCGTCCATGCGTTGCAGCATCTGTGTCGCCCGTGCTCTTCGCAGCTCTACCGCTTGAGGGTCAGTGCCTGCCGGAAGTCCGGCTGCCTCCGCCGCTTGCTCCTTCTTTTCTGTATCCAACGCAAGGTTTCCGAACGAGAAAGATTTTGTAGCTGCACCTTCGCCTGACTGCTTCGCTTCCTCTCCGTTTGTGGCTGTGCTGTTGCCGGCGTCATCCTTGACTTCAGCCTGTGTTGGCGCAATTTCGATAGTGGGTGCGTTGACCGCCTCTCTGAGCGACTCGATCAGCCTTTGCCTTGCGCCGCCCATCACACTATTGAGATAAGCGGTGACGACAAGCACAAAGTCTTCTGGCACAAAGTTCTCTCCCTCTTCGGCCTCTTCGGCTTCTTCCGCTGCGCCATCTTCGCCTGCTGAGGCAGCATTTTCGGACTGCTTTCGAGCCAGTGCTGTATCGTAGTCCGATGGCGGCACTGAGAGCGCATTCCGCAAAAGCCAATTTTGCTTGGCCTTGTTGAACTTCCATTGCGATTTCTCCGAGCTGTAGATTTGTGCGTATTGTATCGCTTGCTTTGCTTGGTCGCTGAGACGAAGGTCGGTGTTTGGGTCTGGGCCGATGTCTTCTGGCTTCAAGTCGATGGGCTTAGCTGTTGATGATGTCGGGGCAGGAGCCGATGCTGCGGCGGCGGGTGTGACGGTCGGCGCGGCAGCTGTTGTGATCGATGCTTCTGCGGTGTTGTCTTTGGCAGGCTTCTTCTTCTGAGCACGTTTGCGCTTTCTCTTGCGTTTCCCATCGGCTTCTCCATCATCGCTGTCGCTGTCACTATCACTATCACTGCTACTGTCATCCGACGACTCAGCCTTTGCCGCTTTCTTCTGTTCTCCCACAACAGGCTTCTTTGGTGTGGTAGCTGCTTTGGTCTTCTGCTCTTCATCGTCGCTGTCATCGCTACTGCTACTGCTGCTATCGCTGCTGTCTTCCACTTCGGCAGTTCGCTTCTTGTTTCTCGTCCTCTTCCTGACTCGCTTGCCTTTGCCCTCCTTTGATGTCGAGCCAGATGGACCGGCACGTTTTGTTGTCTCTGGCATATCGATTAAGCGGTCGTCTATCTACTTTCGTATGGGGCGAATCCCAGAAGGTGAAAGGCAGATGTTGTGAGGAGAATGGAGGGGGAGGCTCTGGTTGGTGGAGGTTCTTCGGAAAAAAAAAAAAAAAAAAAAAAAAAAAAAAAAAAAAAAAAGAAAAAAAAAAAAGTTCTAGAAATTCTCCACCAAAAAGCAGGGACCAAAAAATCCACTCCTCCGAGTCCCGAGACACATGCTCTCGTTCAACTTTGTTTCTGTGGAGCATTGCGGTTCGACACCTTCACCTTATCGTTCAGCTTCGACCACGATCCTGTGCAGAAGAGCAGGTACACCAACATGGGCAACCTCTCCGGAGTCATCGCCGTCTTAGCGGTCATCTTCCGACCCTCCTTAGTGGTGCCGCACGTCCAAGTACCCGACATTCGACACCTCGATTGGGAAGCTCTCCATGCCAATGGAGTCCGCTTTCTCGTTTTCGACAAGGACAACTGTCTCACCGCACCGCATTCTGATGTGCTCGAGCCGTCAATTACCGAAGCTTGGGAGCGATGCCAGCGAGTCTTTGGCCGAGAAAACATTCTCATTGTCAGCAACTCGAGCGGTTCTTCAGACGATCCTTCCGGCCTAGGTGCCGAATCGCTCAGCCGAGCACTCAATGTTCCTGTGCTCTGCCACAAGCAGAAAAAGCCCTCCAGTGGGTGTGCCAGAGAGGCTCTCGAGTACTCTGTAGCCTTGTCATATGATCGGGATACGACAATAGCACAGGCATCGCACATGCCTCCCGGAACAGGCGCAATCGAGGCCGGCCCAAGTCGACAGACGAAGAAGTATTTGAAGGAGAGGCGAAAGGTGCTCAGGTCGCAACTGCCGGTAGATGAGAGTGGCAATGGAAGCATCTTGCTTGTCGGTGACCGAACAATGACAGATGTCGTGGTAGCTCACCGCATGAACGACGAGCTCATGCGCAGGAGGAGGAAACTTGGCCTTGACGCAGCACCCACCTCAACATCAGACACGAGTTCAATACCGACACCACAATGCATATCAGTACTTACAACAGGCATTTGGGCGTACGAAGGTCGTCTGAACGCCCTCATGCGCAAACTTGAGACACGGGTCACATCGTACCTCATTCGAAAAGGCTTCCAACCTGGCTCACCTCGGCTTATTTCGCTGCGCAGACCAGTGCCTAGACCATTGATTGACTGGCAGAAGATCGCAGCGAAACCCGTCACGAACCCGGAGACTCTGGTTACTCGCCTGTCAAAGGAAGACGCGGCTGAATATGCATACACCGGCGACCGAGTACCCTCTGCCAGTCTTGCCCAGCCATCTCTCGGAGCGATTCTCATCGCTACAGTCGTCCGCCCGTTCCCACCTCGCCTAGCATCCCTCATTTCTCGCTTGCTAGCTAGCAGACCAATTGTCTGGATCTCCACCAACCTGCGTGACGGATGGAATGTCATGATCAAGGGTCTCGATTTTGGCGTTCGCGAAGCAGGCATTCAACCCCACACTCGCATCCGCAAACTAACATACCCCACCGAAACACCCTCTACCCTCCCAGCTGCTCGTAGCGACGCATCACTGCTGGACGAAGTCGCACCAAAACCCAAAACAGAGCTCAAGAAGGAAGCAGTCTCAGCGACCCTATCCGAATACCTCGAATCGCGTATTCCCAGCCTCCCTGCTGCAGGGGCACAACAGCTCCGCAATCGTCTCTTCCAACCTGCTTTCCTCAACCGCTTCTCTTCACCATCATCATCCGGCACGCACGTAGCGCAGCGAAGCTTACACACTTCAACGATCCGCTTTCAACAGAACACCCTACCAACAGGCGGTGGCAGACCAGGCATTCCAAGACGAAACTGGATCGCAGCATTTTCAGCTCTCGTCATCGTTCCTGCCAGCTACTACATCGGGATGCGTTTGCATGATCTTAAGGATGCGAAGCAGATTGATTCGAAACAACCGTTGCCACTGACACCAGCAAGCCCAACGGCTGCACTGTACCAGCACCAGCAACCAGCATCAGATGCAGAGACTACAGGTCTGAACGTGCGAAAGGCTTTGGCTAGAGCACAGGCTGATAGGAAGCGAGAGTAAGTACCGTACCGACACCCATCTTTAGAAAGGGAGACTTGTTGACTGACAGAATGTTCGTCTCTGCTTTGATTCGTACAGACTTGAATTGACGTTGTTTCACCTGGTCCGAGAACGTGAAGACGTATTAGACAAGCTTGATCGCGTTCACCAGCGTCGTCTTGAATCTTCCTAACCCACTCACTCTTCACATAATCATACACAGTCACCATAGTGTTTGCAATGCTATTACATTGTCCTTCACCATCTCCGGGCCTTGTGAAAGCTAGAGTACAATCTCCTCGATAGTCTCCTTATTAGTCCCCAATTTCGGCAGTCTGACGTAAATATCCGTCGAATGACCGTCTAAACTCCTGAAACTCAAACTACCACCAAAAAAGTCGCAGTACACTTTTGCCATTGGCAAACCCAATCCTGTCTCAACCTGCACAGTATGGAGTGCTGCTGGACCGGTTCCTTCCATTGCTTGAATGGTTCCACCCTTCTTCCCCACCCACTCTCCTTTGTCGCTGGAGGAGGGGCGGAGTGGAACTTGTTCAGTAACCGTACCCTTGAACTTTCCTATCGTCTTCAGTGCATCGAATCTGTCTCTTGTTCCCAGGCCGGCGGAGTTTAGGTGTGCGGCGGAATCGCCCTCCGCTCCCGCTGGTGCAGGGAGGGAGGCAGAGGAGGAAGGGAGACCATAGAAGGCACTAGCGCTATTACTGTTGGAGGATTTAGTGGCTTGTTCTTCGATCTCTAGTCGTTTTCGAACGTTACTGAATGAGCATAAAGCGTCAATCAGAGGGTCGGAATACCCCTCAGCCGCAGAAGAAGAGGTGGATGTTCCCACCGTACCGAATTCGTTTGGAGGAGTAGAACCACCAACACCTCCAGCTGACCCTACACCTCCTCGTGCAGTCCACATTCTCGTCGAGGGAAGTGAAGCTTCTGCCCATGGTTCGGCGTAGAATGAAGCTGCATCTGCCCTCATACTCCCGGGCAGGGTGTCGTCGGAGAGGGTGACTGGGATTGTGTCGTCATCTGGATGTATAAGCCTTGCTCTACTTCCTCGTGGTGGATATCCTCCGATGTGACCCGTGTCAGGGAATGGAATTGGATACTGTTGATCACCACCGCCCACTCCCTCCCCTGCCCCTCCGCCAGGTGCGCTTGCAAACCCAACCGGCGCAGGTACTGGCTTCACATAGGACCCCCTGCTCGGCATCGAAAGCTGCGTAATCAAATCAGGCAAACCACCACCACAATCACTAATTCTAATGATCAAATCTTCCTCCGGCGGTCCCTCCACCACCGTCACTCTCACCACACCCTTCTCTTCCATCCCAACATGCTTCCTAATTGTCGCCCGAATCGCATTTTTCAACAACTCAAACACGATATACTCCAAATGTTCCGGAATATACGCAAATCTAGCTTTCAAATCTCCATCCACCTCCACTTTCGGTATCCTATCCTCTCCCACCCCTTGCACGGTAGCAAACATTTGGGTTAGAAGCTTTATGCCTTTGTTGACTACACTTGCTACACTGAGCCGGGTGTAGATGATTCCAACGTGGTCTCCCACCGCATCGTCGTTGTTTAGATCCAGTTCGGATTCGCATTGTCCTTCTTCTCGGCGCCGCGTTACAGGTTCGTTGAAGAAGTGGAAAGGGTCATCGAGAGCCTCAGATAGAGCAATGTGTTGTTCTGCCAGCACTCTACGGGAGATGCGCGAGCGAAGCATGCGTTCCATAAACTTATCCAACTGTTGAGGCTGCAAGTGATGTGAACTCTCCACAATTCCAATCGTCAAAGACGGGATGATGGTCAAATGATCATCCAACAACCTCCTCAACAGATTACAAAACTTTTCATTATCATCTACAGTTTTTATATGTGGGAACCTTCTGAACGTCTCAAATGCCGACCAGTACTTTTGGTACACATCTTCGAGATGTTGGTTTGTCATAACGACAAAGGGCAGCGCTTGAAGATCACGAATTCGATGAGCAATGCGAACGGGGAGTTCCTGTCGAACGTAGTTGCCGGATTTGAGGATTTTCTCGCGGTCGCGGCCAAGGGTGCGACCGAAAAAGATGAGCTGTCGTAGGGTCATACGGGTGGCGGGTTTGGCTGCCCATTGTTCGAGGACTTTGTTGAGGTAGAAGTGGCGACCGAGGTCTGCTTCTGAGTCCATGCCGAGACGGGTGGGGGAGGGGGCGGGGGAGGGGGCGGGGGAGGGGGCGGGCATTGAGGAGAGGAGGCGGAGACCTGGTGGGGGATAATGAGGGGGACTGGAGTCGAGAGTTGGAAGAGATCGCCGTTTCCCACTGCGTTGAGTGGATTGTGATGCCGATGCAGATACTGAGGACGATGATGAGGCGTACGATCGATGCTGAACCTTGGCGCTGGAAGAAGAGGGTTGGGAGACCCGAAAGCGGGTCACTCGAATCATCGTGCCGTATAAGATTTAAGGGTAGGTGTGATATCGACGGGCGATGATGCTGCGAGGGTGGTGAAGGAGACAAGTCAAGATGGAGCGGGCAAGTCGCTGGGGTTAGCGAGGGTCACGATGGTCATAGCAACGAGCAGCGAAAACCGGAAAAAAACGTCGGATGTCGGAGCTGCGCACGGGCGACAGGCGGATCTTCGGATTGGCGTCCCCCACACTTTCTTTTTTTGGCAGGCTCTCTAGAATTGCCAAGTCGCTCATGGCACATACACTGGCACCTGAGCTCACACTGCTCGCTGGCCCATCTGAATCGCGATCAAGGCACAACCCTCATGGGCACATCCTGGATAGGAAGTCGAGAGCCGGTATTGAGCAACGTAAGTGGTAAAATACAGCATAAAGTAGACGAAAACAGAGACGGTGCAGTGCAGAGTGCAGAAGGGTTCCAAGGATGGGTATATGTGAAACAACACCGAGCAGCAGCAGGATTGCGGTACAGTATCAACGGGCTGTGCCAAACTGCGATCATGCAGCCAAAGCTTGCTGATACGCAGGTTCAGGCTCAGCCTCACCCACAATCTCCCAATTGCTACTGCCCGATCTCGGCAATGTCGCCACCACAGCCTCTCCCCCATCCCCTTCCCCCTCAACCTCATCCAATCCAGCACCAGCAATCCTCAACCCATCCTTCCAGCCCCTAACCCTCGCACAGCTATCGTCATCCGCTTGATTCACGATATCATCACTCGACGATACACTTCGTATCGACGAAATCCCCAGATCCCTCCCTGCATCTCCTAGCCTCGCTTTCCCCTGCGAAGACGTCGCTGCTAGATTTGCCAAACATGCCTCTAGCGACATGCTAGGCGCTCGCCTTGCAAGCCTCTTTGCTGGCTCGGCTGCTTTCGACATCTGCGCTGAGGGATGGATGACGGTGGTGATATCCGTGTGAATAGAGCTAGTCGCGGAGACGCAAGAGACATCGCGGTGGGTGTGGGCGGATTGTTGTCCAGCTGCAGGCCATCGTGGTGGACCCATTGCGCCCCATTTACTGGCTCGACCTGGTGAAATGGCTGCTGTGCCTCCTGGGCGAGATGAGGTGCCGCCGACGACGGTAGCGTTGCGCGGGACTTTGGCTACTAGTGAAGGGCGGGGTCGGAAACTCTCACGTTGAGCTTTTACTATTCGAGCTGCGGTGGGGACTGAGGATGCTGTGACGTGACGGGAGCCGTAGGTTGGTGCTGGAGGATTGAATGGTTTCGATGCAAGGCGTGGTGATGGGCCAGGGATGCGGGACGGACTGCTGCCGTGGTTAGTGGCATAGGAAGCACTGCTGGCTGCCCTGTAGTTGCCTGCCATGGAAGAGGCTGGTCGAGAAACATTGGCTGCATGGCCGTCGCCGTAGTGTGCTTTGGATGCTGCTGTCATGGGCACTCGTGCTGAAGCAAACCGAGACACGGACGCTGGTACTGCGCCCTGTCTGACAGAAGGTGTGCTTGTTGATAGAGCTGCGACTGTAGCTGGTGTTGCTGCGATGCGTGGCTTCTTGATCGTACCTTGATGTGGGGTCATAGAACGCATTGGTGTAGCTGCAACAGTGCGGTTGGATGATGCCGAGGTTACAAGTGGTCCGCGTCGCACGCTGGATGGTGCACTAACAGGTGGTGCCATAGGTTGTGCGCCCGAAGCTGACCTCGTTCTCTTGCGGTTCGCATTTTCCTTTGCACCATCGACCTGCTCCATTAGCTCATCCAAGTAGCGCACGCCATTGATGGTGAACGGCTCCCCGTGCTCTTCCTCCCACGCAGGAATGACTTTGAGCAATTCAGCTTCGATCTTTGGCTTCTGAATCTTGACGCGCTTACGCATCTTTTCCTCTCGCAGCAATCGTCCTGGATCACCACGGTTGGATCGACCCAACAATCGTGATCCATCCGATGCCGATTCGTCCAACTGCCTGGCCTCATCAAGAAGCTCCTTGTACCTGCCAATGACTTTAAGCACTGGTGCTTTAACACGAACTTGTTCCGTCAACAGATCAATCATGTGCTCGTGCGAAGCCAAAATTTCGTCCGTCGGAAGAGGCTCATCCAGATTAGGATCCGCATCTGCCGAAATATCGATGAAGAAGGGAGGGAATGAAGTTTCTCGCTCCTCATCGGTGAGGAAGAGGGAGTCCCATAGAGTAGCTATACGTTCTCGCGTCTTGGTGATGAAGAGAGACATGTGTTGTGCTTTGAGCTGTTTCATCTTGTCCAACTCGGCCTGATAGGCTTGGATGACATGGGTAGTGCTTCCTCGATGATCCATGACGAATGCATCCATCTCTTCTTCGGGAACATCGAATTTGGCCCAGAGCTCGCTGAGTTGGTCGTAGAGCTCTTGGATGAGCAGCTCTCGTCGCTGCTTCTCTGCTTCGAGCCATTGCAACTTGTTTGCAGCTCGAGCGAGGTTGACTTCGGATGGCTCGAGGAGGTGCGATGGAGTGGCAGGGATGGAGGCAGTCTTGCTGGCAGACGAAAGCTGCAGTGCAAGATCTCCGCTGTTCCTTGCTGGTTGGCCGCCGAGGGATGCGCGTGTTGGTGTTTCTGAGAGAAGATCATCGATCGCCTGACTTGCACGGGTGGAAGTGCCATCGCGGCGTTCTGGTTGTTCAGTGCTGACAAACTCGCCAACGAACTTGTGTGTCAGGTCGTCGTGGATCGGCTCAAGTTGCAAGTGCGCGAGAATGGCACGGTCGAAGCGGATCGTTCCTCCACCGCAGTCGACATCATCACCGACCTGTGCTGCTTGAAAGACGTGCTCGTCGGAAAGTGCCACGGGCTGTGCGGGCTCGAGGTTGAGTTCGGACCAAAGCTGAACAATCTCGAGAAGATTTGTTTGCAGTCGTTCCGATCTGGCGTTGACCTCTTTGGAGCATCGGATGATCTCTGCTTCAAATAGAGCAATGCGCGGTTGAGAGACGTCGCGGAAGGCTGGCGTTGCCGACTCTGCTGAGGTTGAAGCGGCGAGTGGCTCCTGCCAAGTGTCCTCTGGAATCTTGACAAAGCTGCCGAGAAGCGCAATATAAGTCTGAAGCTTGGCGGAGAGTCGATCTAGTTGAGCTTCTTTTGCTGTATAGGACGCTTTGAGACGCGTCTGATCGATTACAAGCTGAGATCGGCGCTGCAAGAGTGGCTGAGAATCGCTTGCTGATTCTGCTGTTGCTGGCGTGGGCGGAGAAGCGGCAGAGACCATTCGCTGTCCGATGGCGTTTTGCAACGATGGGTTTGTGGCGTGCGACTTTTCCCCAAGTGCCCTCTTGATTTGGGCATTATCGGCTTGGATTCGAGAGCATTCTGCGCTCAGGTCCTGGGCCTCACGTTGCACCTTTCCGATCTGGTCGTCTACGGCTGTTTTGAGTGCTTGGTGGAGTGCGTCAAGTGCCCCTTGCAACGCTTCGGGAGGGTGTCCAATCTGCGAATGTAAGCCAACAAGCTTTTGCGTTGATTCGGACAGGAGTGTCGCTAGTGCTGCTGCGTCCATGGTGACAGTCTGTGCACCCAAAGAGCGATGAGGGACCAGCCAGTGATGCAATGCAATGCAGTGCAGTGCGGGTGAATGGTGGTGATAGGTAGGTCTTTTAGTTGCCGGAGATGATGGAAGGATGATTTCAGGGAAGAGACGGATATGATATGGTGATGGTGATGGTGATGGATCGAGATAGCCGTTCGGTATCAACTTCCACATCCCACTCTCGCAGTCTGTGTGTCTTGCCGAATGCGAGCCTTGAAAATGACGCACAAGAGTGAGCGAAAGAGAGCAACAGACCAACACTGCTCTGTGCAGTCCTTGCTCGCGGCTACGCGCGCTGAACCCTAAAAATCCCAATTTAATTTTCTGTTTTATTATTGATTTTCTTCAGCACGCGAGGCCGCACACGAACGCGTTGAGCAGCTTAGAGTCACGTGCAAGATCATGGCCACGTTTCTCAGCCTCTGGTTGCTGTTGTGTTAGCCTGTGAGCTGTTGCTGCGACTCGTTTACACTTCGCGCGAGCTGTCAAGAACACGAAAGCTGTCCTCCCTTCTCCTTCTCCGGACTCTCAACCCACACCATTCCTTTCTTATACACACTCTTTGTTACGTTTACCTACACCATCACCTTACATTCGGACGATTCGGCTTCTTTCCGCCTTGTATACCCGGCCAGCTCGCTCCGCTTCGTTTGCATCATCGACTGAATCATGGTCACTGGCAAGCCGCTACCTCCTATGTTTCACAAAGCGTGATCAAACGCGCTCATCCTTGATCAACGCTTCATAACCTTACCGGATATCCTCACCCATCCATCACCAACATGGACACTGAACAGCTCCCATCTTTCGTCACGGCGTCAGCGGTCGCCGACCCAACTACATCTCTCCAGCAGCCGCAATCTGGATCTCCACACTCTCGCTCTCCTTCAGCAACCAGTACAGCAACGGAACGGCCCACATTGCATCTTGATCATGCTGCATCTTACCCGAGGAAGCCACCATCGATCGACTCCAACTTTTCCAGTGTCCAAGGCAAGACTGCTGGGACCCCTCCTGACCACGGAGACGATGCCGAGGTTGACCAAACGGTCAGCTCCATCTGGGACGAGTCACAGACTGACAAATTTGGACAAGTCGAGCATCCTCCGGCCACACCTCTAGCTTCTTCTTCTCAGCATCCTGTAGCAACACAGCAGCAAACACCAGCACCGATTAGCAGACCAGACTGGATGACGGATGACCTTGACGAGTCTTGGCCGGACGAAGACCCTGCTACTCAAGCGACACCGACACCGAGCAATGCGCAAGCTCCAGCTAGCACAACTGCTCCAAATGAAGCACAACAAGCCAATGTTCAGTCTAACCGCCCCCGGTCTCCTATTCGTTCTGCATTGCCATCAGATGCACTTGCGACCCCTTCAGCTGCATCGCGGCCTATACGCCTCGCAGCCATTGCGAATGACCTGCCCGACCCAGCCTTCTCCGCAGCTCGACATCAAGCACGTCGCGCTTTGCTCAAAAGTAGAGCTTCCGGCGTTGGTGCACCAACTCCAAGAGCTCCCGCTGCCTCATCCATCAATGCTTTGCAAGCTGGGCCCTCTACACCTTCCCTTCGCCTACCAAGCCACCTAAATCGTCGAAATCGTTTGCGTGGCATCAATGCAGAGGAACAAGGAGACAGCACCATCTGGTCCGACTCTGAATCCGAATCCGACTCAGCCGGCTCTGCACCGGACGACTTTGAAAGTGCACGTGGTTCTCTCGCCGAGAACTCGCGCATCACCAACATGCAAACCGCTCCGCAAACCAGATCTGTGCCACAACAGCAAACGCAGGCGCAATCACCAACAGCAGCTTCAGATGCTTCGAACGCAAAAGGGACATTCATTCACAAGGCAGACGTGTCGTCGTTGCCGCCCATTCTGCGACCTGTATGGCAAAGTCCAGCAAAGGGTCAGAACGGTCCGAATCGGAAAGGCGTCACAGCGCTTGGAGGTGATATGTTCACCCCGATGCGCCTGCAGACCATGTTCAAGACACCCACACCGCCAGAGAAGCCGACGCATCACATCATGTCTGTAGTGGCTGGTGCCGTCAACCCTTTCACAATACCTGAAGCGCAGACTGCTGATGGGAAAGAAGCGCCAACGGAGCAGCAACAACCGGCTGCACCGAATATTGAAGAGCGCGAGCGGGAGAGTGCTGCTCCTGACGAGGGGGTGTCTTCAACCCCACCGCAGGCGGTTGCAGCTACAGAGGCTGGAGCAACCACACATACTGGTGTCCCCAGTACAGCATTCACCTTCCAGACTCCACACGCATCACTTGATGCCCCACTGCACGTCGCCCGCGGTATGGTCCCATCACAGTCGCTTCACAACATGCAGACCCTCCATCCGGACATGCACGCAACAGCCTTGGCCCGCCCAGCCTCTGCCGCAGCTGATCTCGGCCTCCACTCGCCAGCTGTTGCAGGCAGGGCCGCGAACCTACTTTCGGGCCCTCCGACACCTCACACGCCGATGCGTCTGTTCAACTTCAACTACGACAACGCTGATACCCGTGCAAAGCTCGAAAAGATGGTCAACGAAAGGACACCATCGGCGGCACCACCACAACCACCAACACGGCCAGCAGAGGTAGAACGAGAGAGGAAGCGCCTTCGGTTAGATGTCAAGCCAAGGAAGGTCCTGACAGGTGATCTCATGTCAATGCCCACGCTCGGCGAACCTCTGACGTCCAACCAACAATCAAAGCAAGCTGCAGAGGTGGAGGGATCCAACTCTCATCGGCAGCCTGTTGTTGACTATGTCAAAGAGTCAAGCAACTTCATGAGCGCACTTCAAGATGCTGTACGTATCCAGTCTGGGGGTCCCGACATTTCGCCAGAGTGGGCTACGGAGGAGGAAGAGTCGTCTGGTAATGGCGTTGGCAATCAGGGCCAAGTCTCGTTCCATCAAGGCAGAGTAGACCGATCGAACTCTTCACCCGCCACTTCACCAGCAAGGCCTCGGCGGACTTTTGTCGTGAGTCAACGAAACCGTTTCACACCGCAAAAAGACAGCACTCGCGACGACATCGTTCCATCAGCACTCGAGCATGGTAGCCCTCAGCGATTGTCGTCTCGCAGGCTGCCATCCGACTCTTCCTTCGTTACAGAGTCGGGCTCCAACGACATTCCCATGTCATCCACACTCAAATCTCGTGCATCTCTATCGCGACGCATTGCTGAACAAGTCAAGGCGGGCGAATCACCTCGCAAGCTTCTGCGTCGCATCAGTGCAGCTGCCATCGCCGAGGAAGAAGTGCGTCGAGAGTTTGACGAACAAGAGGCCGAGCCTGGAAGAGCTTGGGAACCGGCAAAGCTGGCTGAAGACGCGTTCGCCTATCGCGACCAACAAATTCGTCAGCTCGAAGAGCGTATTGCAAAACGTCGACAGCTCTCCACACCTGCCAAGGCTGTGCCGCAGGTTCCACCGTCAGGAGAGGAGCCTCATGCCGTATCGAGGCCGCAGTTGATCACTCTGCACGAACCCACACTGGATGTCATCGCGAGCCGATGTCAAGCGCAGGACATCGATGGCTCTGACGAAGAGTCTGATGTCGACGAGAGCGCGATTGCCGATCGAGACCGAATGCAGCGAGAGGTGGATGGCAACACGCGACGATGCCATGATGGTATTGTGTTGTATGACTCGGAACGTATTCCGAATCCGCCACTGCCTGATCCGACAAGGGCCTTACGCAATATGGCCTCTGCGGTTGAGTTGCGGAATCGCGAGGTGGATCGCGCTTCTCTCGCCCGCGCCTCTTCATTGCTGGCCTTGCCGTCGCACACCGCCGCCGCCGCGGGTGTTCCTGCTGAAGATGCGGACCTTGTGGCTATTCGACGAGGCGATCGAACGGCATCGTCGAATACACTGGTGGACCCTAGCAATGCGCGCACAGTCTCTGGTGATGTCGGATCTCAGCCGACTATCTCGGATCTCGGAGGCAAGGGTGCCACCATCACGCGAACAGGCAGCTTGTTCAACATCAGCCAGATCCCTGAACAGGAAATTGAGAGTCTTGGCCGAGGCAGGCTGACCTTCAATAAGGAGCTCAATCGCTGGGAAAAGGTACCGAGATTTCGCTCTTTGCAGGAAGGCTTGCGATCAGCTGCAGGTTCTCGCAACGAGACCGTCGAAGGAGGCTTCCATCAAGCACCACCGACCAGCAAAACGCCAATTCCTGTCATTCCTGAAGCATCCGCTGAGGTCTCGAGGAGCATCGACGTATTCTCCGAGTCTGCAGAGGAGCAGCAAGCCCGAGCGCAGGCAGGTGGCCGTACCAACTCCTTCCAGCAGCGTCTTGGCAATCTAACGCAGAACAACTTGAGCGCCGCTGATGGCCGACAAAGCGACTCGAGTGATCCGTTCAGGGGTTTTGAGAGCTTTGGTCAGAGCTCTCATGCACCTGCTTCTGTCTCGAATGCGGTGGAGGAAGATGAAGAGTCAACACCCAAGCCTGTTAAGTCCAACATGTTTGTCTCCCGTCAGCAGTACGGAGCAAATAGGACACCGGCAGCGGCTGTACAGGCTGATTCAGGTGCAGCTTTAGCTACAAATGCTCAAGCTCAGCGTGAAACAACAAAGTCAACCAGCCCAGCAGGTGCTGCCAGCATACCAAAGCCAACGGGTGCCAGTCCGAACCTGCTCGCTTCTCGCATCTTAGCAGCCAGCACCGTGCCAAGGTCAAGCTCGTCGCTCCGAAACGTTGTCACTTACAGTCCAGAACCCACAGCCAGCAGCCGCCACTCGAGCTTAGGACATCACGCAACCGATGCTCGCGATGAGCTTGTACCGGACGCGCCCGATGGCTTTAGACACGAAGCTCAAGCTACAGCAACAAAACAAGCTCGCGATTATGCCGACGTCTACGCAACTCCTGACCGTCGCTTAGCGAACCAACAGCATCTGGGTACACCAACACATAGAGCTTCAGCTTACTCCATCTCGACACCCAAATCCATCCTGAAACAACCGGCAGCGTTCCGTGGCGAAGCGCCCGCACGCCTGAAGGGTGCTTCGCACAACACTTTGGCCAACTCGGCAGTAGGCGGCGGCGGAACACCGAATCGAACGATAAGCTTTGCTGACCCACCGTCAACCGCGCACGCTCGAGATTTAGGTTTAGCTCCATCGGCACGCGTCAAAGGTTCTGTGCAGCGCGCTCAGACCATTCTGGGGGGAGAGGAGGATGGGTATGCCGATGACGGACGGACTCAGGCTATATCTTCGGCGCTCAAGGTGCTTGCTGATTTAACGCTTGGCGATGACACCGCTGTTTTGGCCTCGGTCAATCCTTCACCTTCGAAAATGCGTGACTTCGACGCAAACCGCTCGCATTGGTCATACTGCACGCTTCGACGACCACGGAAGACAAGGCCAGAGGAGGGAGAAGAAGGCGATTTCAGCTGTGACAGGGCTGAAGACACTTATGATGAGTTGCACGGCTATCCAGACATGACACTGCTCACAGACGCCTCGTTCAACTTTGCGCACGACAAAGTGTTAGAAGCGATCACAGACGTCGAGCCTTGGGAGCCTGGCTGGGACGAGTTGCAGGCAATTGACCTCAGTCGTCGTCGTTTGGAGTCTTGCGTGCGATTGAAGGAGTTTCTACCAGCACTAGAGGAGGTTGATCTGCAGAACAATGAGCTGTCCTACCTTACTGGTATCCCTGTCTCAGTTCGTGTCCTCAACGTCAGCCACAACCGTCTCACACCCATGGCTTCCTTCGGTCATCTTCTGCACCTGGAAGAGCTCGACATCAGCAACAATCAGATCGACTCTCTGTCTCACCTCAGCTGTCTCAAGCACCTACACACGCTCAAGGCGGACAACAACGACATCAGCTCCCTCGACGGTATCAACAAGATCCGCAGCCTGGTCCACGTCAGTCTATCAGGTAATCGGCTCGAAGGCATCCACCTTGCAACGACGCAATGGGCAGGATTGGAGACGCTCGACGCATCGCACAACCAGCTCATCTCCATTCGAGGTCTACACATGAAGCATCGCCTCAAGTCGCTCAACTTGGATCACAACGATCTCAACATGGTGGATTTGACTCCTGCCATGCCGAGGTTGAGGGTCTTGCGAGTGAGCGGAAATCCGCGGTTGCAGGTGCTCGACGTCGCGCCTGCTAAGCGATTGCGTACGCTCTATGCAGATTACTGTGACTTGGACCGTATCCAGAATCTGGACCAGCTCGAGCATCTGGACAATCTCAGTATGAGACAGCAGGCAGACGCAGCGATTGTTTGGCCTGCTGATCAGCTGCGCGATGTTCGCCGACTTTTCCTCTCGGGTAACGCTTTCCCACAAGGCATCTCCACCACTATCACCCCGGTTGAGCCTCGGAAGTCGCTCGTACCTGCCCCTATCTCCGTCGTGCAGCCACTCCGATTCCTTAACCTGGTTTACCTCGAGCTATCAGCATGTCAACTCATGCATCTCCCGGAAGATCTCGCTGAAATGGCACCCAATCTCCGCTCACTCAACTTGGACCACAACCTCATCTCCACCCTTCCCAGTCTATCTGGTATGCAACGTCTCAAACGTCTAAGTTTAGTAGGCTGTCGAGTGAAGAAGAGCAAATCCATCATCACTGCCGTTCGAGGTCTTACCGAGCTTCAAGTCCTCGATTGCCGTACAAACCCTTGCACTCTCGGTCTATATGCTCCGCTTATCGCCCCCTCCGCTACTCCTTTGTACCGTGGAGCTGAAGATGGAATCCCCAACCTGGACTCTTTAGCCCCATCGTGGCTTCCACCAGTCCCGAATGCGCAGATCGTCCAGCCCGACCAAGCCGCCCGACAGCGTTGGCTCGCAGTTCAAGCACAAAAAGAACAAGTCGAATTGCTTGAGAAATCGCATTTCCATAAACGTCGACCTCCTCTAGCAGATTATGCGATTGATCCGAACGCTACGCTAGCGAAGGAGGCGCTGGAGAAGGAAACAGCCAGAAGAACAGGGGTGGATGGAGGTGCGAGTTATTCCAGCTTATTCCTTGCTGCGGACGCAAGATTTGTAAAGACTCTGCCGAGGCAATTCTATGAGAGAAGAGTGCTGCATAGGGGACTGTTGGCGATGGCTTGCCCAAAGTTGAACTGGGTGGATGGATTGATGGTGGAAGAGGAGGAGGTGGAGGAGGCGGATAGGTTGGTTTCAAGTAGGAGGTTTGATCGGGAGCCCGTGGCTTCGTAGGCAATGCTTTATTTTGTATTTCTAGTAACATTATGTATTCTCAGATATCTTCTAACCACTCTAGGTTTGATAGTGTGGTATGAGTAGCCCGATGTTCAGCGACGAATGGTGATGCCAGGAACGAAAAGCGTGGCGGCGGCAGCGAATGGAAGCGACCCGCGGCGTGGCTCTGCAGGAAGCGCGGAAGGAGATAAAAAGAGTTGAGGGAGATGCGACGAAGCAGGGATCCCGGCCGGGATAAAACTCCCGCTGCAGCCCCGTGCGCGCACGCGAGCTACAAAGACTTTGAAACACCCAGACTCGAGCTTGTAGTTAGACTATCATCATCTACGCAGAAAATCAGATTCCTCAACTGATTAAGAGTCTGAAGCTCAGCAGCTTCTAGCACCTCGCCACCAGGATGCCACCAAGAGTAGATAGCATAGTGCTACTTGAATGCACCATGCAGATGATCAGGGAAACTCACACCAACTGGGATGAAGACCAAGTCTTGGAGCGCGCCTTCTCGCTAATGAACCTCCAACCCAACACCAACCAAGCGGAGAAGATCCCCAAGTCGGTGCTCAGCATCATCTCGCAAATCGTCAAGCTCAACGAGAACAACTGGGCCATCTGGGAGCCAATGTTCATGGACTGTATCCGCCCAATCAAGAACGCCAAGCGGATCCTCACTGAGGAGATTTCCAGTGGCCATACCAACTATGATGAGGAACTGGACAGCCACTTGCTGGGTCTCATCTTGTCCTCCTGTGACCACGGACCCACCAGCCGTATCAACACCTACACAGTGCGGGAGCAAGGTGAGGAGGAGCAGCTTGGCTCTACACTCTACAAGAAGCTCAAAGCTGCTCTCACAATAAACGATGAAGTTAAACTCTCCGCCATTCACGACTGGGTACACGAAGTCAAGCTAGCCCAGCGCAACATTGTCAACCTCGGTAAGGAGCTTGATCAAATCTGGAATGACGCAGCCAGGCTCAGCAGCCGCATGGACGAAAAGCTCAAGAAGTCTACCCTGTACCACTGCGTCAAGGATGACTGGCTCTACACCCAGACAGTAGACTCCCTCAAAGCTGCTCAACCTGGTTGCAGCTATGAGTATGCCTATCATGCACTAGCTAAGAAGCACCAAGAAGCTGAGCTCTCAGGTTGTATCCGAGCCACGGCCAGAGTCGCGAGCAATAGAAGTTCAACAGGCCAAGCTGGCGAGCATAGGCAGATTCTTAACCAAGAGGGCTACAATAGGGGCAGGCGTGACCCCACAAACCCTAACGAACCGGCCAAGTGCTATAAGTGTAGGCAACCCGGGCACATTGCCATCAACTGCACCAACAGTCAGGAGCTAACTCCTACCCAGCAGGGATAGGGACTCGGGTGCACCTTCTTCGTAAGCAACACTGGCAACCGCAACCAAGACAGTACATGGATTCTCGACTCTGGAGCTACACATCACATGGTACGTGATGAGGGTAAGCTCATTGCCCCAACGCCGAAGCAAGGATCCATAGATACTGCTGGACATGAACGATTGCGAGTACAGGCAATAGGCGATGCAACTCTGCAAGTAAGAGACATTAAGATACCACTCACTGATGTACTTCACGTTCCCAACCTTAGCAAGAACCTATTGTCCATCCCAGCGTTGACTGAAAATGGTGCATGCATGATATTTGAAGAATCTGGAGCTACTATCCTCCAGCATGATGGGAGCATGGTCAAGAGCAAGACCAACTGGCGCAAGAAGAGATGGGAGGTTTACGGTGACTCCCTAGCAGCACAGCTCAATGATCCCCTAGAGGGCATTGATGCCACCACAACACCAGCAAAACCCACAAGCCACATGACGAGCAAACTATGGCATGAACGATTCGGTCATCCTGGCAGGAACAAGACCAAGCAAATCCAGGCCCACTACTTAGGAAAAGAGACACAGCTTGGACATGATGCAAGGGACTGCAACTGTTGCAGCCAAGCAAAGCAAACATGCGCAAGAATGACAAGTAGCAAAACAGAGTGAGCCCAGGCACCCCTGGAGCTGGTACACATTGACTTGATGACGGACCTGAAAGGTCATCCCAACTACCACCATGCACTGGTAGTTGTAGATGACTCATCATCCTATGTATATGTGAAACCACTCCTCAGCAAGGCCAAAGCATTCCCCGCTCTAAAGGCATGGATCAAGGCAGCAGAGATAGCAACGGACCACACGCTAAAGTGCATCCACAGTGACAATGGAACAGAGTGGTCCAGCTTTGGAGCAGAAGAATGGAAACGAGAAGCAGGGTTCAAATGGCAGAAAACCACACCATATGTCAGTGCCCAGAATGGGAGAGCAGAGCGCATGATCAGATCCCTTCAAGAAAAGATGTGTGCAATGCTCATCCAGAGATCAGTACCAAAGGAGCTGTGGCCCTACACCATCATGGCTGCAGGGCACACACTGAACTTGACACCCTCTACCAAAGCAAATAGGATTCCATATGAGGACTTCCACCACAAGTCGGCACATGGTTTGGCCAAGCAGCTGTGTGTCTTTGGTTGCCTCGCTTGGGTCCACCTCCCCAGGAAGGATCATACTGGAAAGCATGGCATAAGAGCAATCCCAGGAATCATGGTCGGCTACGATGACGAGCACAAGGGCTGGAAATTCTTCACCCCCAGCCACACCCCATCTATATGGTGGAGCAACTCAGCCACATTCCATGAAGCCAAAGGTTGGCATGATCGCCCCAGTGTGCAGAGCCCACTGCAGTTCGGTTTCGAGAGCCTCGAAGCAGAAGGTACTAGACCCGAGACAGATAGCGACAAGCCCGAATTGGAGGTGGAAGTACTCAACATGGAAGACCCACTTCCCAAGATACACACTGCACCACCTGCTGACCCTACAGATGACAACAGGTCGGAGCTCGATGTTGAAGAGATAATTGGAGAAGCACACACAGCCACCCTGAACCTCACGCTGACCTTAAAGGAGGCACTTGCCAGCGACGATGCACAACAATGGCAGGAAGCCATACGCAAGGAGCTGGACGGACTTGAGGCAATGGGAACATGGGAGATTGTGGACGTTCCACCAAACACTAGACTTGTCGACTCCAAAATAGTCCTTCGGCTCAAATTGGATGCCGATGGCATACCTGTCTGGCACAAAGCGAGACTCGTCGCACGGGGCTTCACACAGCAGGAGGGTATCGACTTCGAAGAAACCTTTGCGCCTGTGGCACCGCTCAGTGCAATAAGAGCCCTGTTATCCTTGGTAGTGGAGCGCAACTGGGAAGTCCATCAGCTTGACATCACAATGGCTTACCTCAACTCCACACTCAACCATGTGATCTACATGAAACCACCAGAAGGTGCCAAGGTGCCGAAAGGGAAAGCCTACCGAGTCATCAAGGGACTGTATGGCCTTAAACAGTCGGGACGGGAATGGAACATGGAGTTTGATAAGTTCCTGCGACGCTCAAACTTCCACAGGCTCGACTGCGCACCATGCATCTACACCAGAGGAGAAGGGGATAACTTTGCAATAGTGGTCATCTATGTTGACAACATGTTAATTATAGCTCCAACCCTAGAAACAGTAAGGCGTATCAAGGAGGAAATAGGCCAAAGATGGCGGATGGAGGATGGTGGCAATGTCTCCCACTTCCTTGGGATTAAAATCACCAGGGATCAAGAAGCGAAAACCATGGACCTCGAGCAAACCAGTTATGTTAAGCAGCTTCTGGATGAACATTTGGACAAGCGCAGAAGGAAGTCTAGCGTACCACTCCAAGACATCCCAGTCCCAGAAACGGCAGCAAGCATAGCAGAATGTAAGGAGTACCCACAGATCGTCGGCAAACTCCTGTGGCTGTCTAATGGAACACGTCCAGACATCAGCCAAGCTGTTGGCGTCCTTGCACGCTATATGACACAACCGTCAAGGGAGCACTATAACGCTGCACAGAAAGTACTCCAATATTTGGACCACACACGAGATATCCACTTGCAATATGGCAGCAACAAGCAACAAGACTTTCTGATGGCACACAGCGATGCAAACTGGGCAAGCGATGCTACAGCACAATGCAAAAGCTCATCTGGTTCAGCGGTGTTCGTGTGTGGTAACCTGGTAGCATGGAAATCAGCCCTACAGCGCTGCACTGCCTTATCGGCGGTGGAAGCAGAATTTGTAGCTGCGACAGAAGCCGCACGAGAGGTCCTGTTCTTCAAACACCTCTTCAAGGCTGTCGGAATTGATGTTGGTATCCCTACAATCTTTTCAGACAACACTGGCACCATCCAGGTTAGCAAGGACCCTGCGCAACACTGGAAGTTAAAGCACATTGACACCAAATACCACTTCATCAGAGACAACGTGCAAGATGGAAAGGTCAGGATCAAGTACATTAACACTGCAGATAACTTGGCAGACCTCTTTACCAAACCGGTGGGAAAGACTATACTACAGTGCATGCGACAGGAACTGGGCCTAAAGGCCCAGCATGATGCAGTGGCCTGGCAGTCTCCTGCCTTGCCACTGAGGGAGGCAGTTGAGGGAGATGCGACGAAGCAGGGATCCCGGCCGGGATAAAACTCCCGCTGCAGCCCTGCACGTGCGCGCAAGCTACAAAGACTTTGAAATGCCCGGACTTGAGCTTGTAGTTAGACTATCATCATCTACGCAGAAAATCAGATTCCTCAACTAAAAGTTAAAGTCCGAGATTTGGGTTCAGCTTATCGCAGTAGGGGGTTTCAGTTTTCTCTGAGTTTTCAAAACTCTGAGTTTTCATGGTTTTTTTGGATTTTGAAAACTCGCTGCTTAAGTAAGCTCTGCCAGGAAAGAAAAGCTCAGAAGTTTTGAAAACCTCTACTTATTTTTGCCATGAGCCCAGGTTTCTGAATATTTGAGTTTTCAGCAGGAGTTTTTGTCATGTGCTGATATCACATGGTTCTAACACAATTTTGCACACAACCCTTGAACTCCACTTTCTGCACTGTCTACACTTTCTCACACTTTGAGTTACATCTGTCCTTGCTTCACTTCTATCACCATCTCCAGTAGCATTTCCTCCCTGTCAGCACCAGGACATGGACATGCCATCCCCTCATGACCATATCAACAACAATACACTAATCACAGCTTTGCAGAAAGCCTCTGGATTGGCTCCAGCATCAGAGCAGTCTTCAACTGCTTCACAGCACAACACAATGTCAGCTCAGTCCAACCTTGATGGCTCTCATCAGCCCCACCCTTCTGCAACTTCCAGCACCTTGGCTGGGGCTGAGTTGACTCAGCCAGCAACCTCTCCCACTTCCCCTTTGTCCTCCTCCACTCCTTCTGGTTCCAATGCCACCACATCTGCCAGTTCTTTGCCTCACCAAGCCTCTACCCACCCAACTTGAATCTCTGCAGCTCACAGCCATCAAGCCAGTACTTGTGGCAGCAGGTTCAACAAAACAGATCATATTGCCTACTTCAATTGGTCACCTAGCAACATAAGTAACCTTGTTGATATCATCTACAATAATGATCAATACCAATGTGTTCTATTGCCAGGACATTTGACTGTGGAACAGCAAAAGGGTTTGAAGACAAACAAAGACATTATCTGCAGGCAGATATGGCAGGAGCTGTTCCCAGATGAGTCTACTGTTGGTGGTGCTGGTCAAGTAAAGACTAAGATTTGCTGGCTCACTGAACAATACAACAACATCAAGAAGACCATCTCACAGCAGACCAGTGCTGGAGTACTTCTTCAAGACATGGATCACAACAGCTCAGTAAGTACAACTTAGTTGATTCATGTTAAGTGTGCCAATTGTCATGGGCCTAAATGCTCAGGAAGCAGGAGGGTTACTGGTTCATATGAGAGGGGCACAGGTAGAGATCTAGTCGATACCAGTAGAGAGCATGGTCGTAGTGCAGTCTCCATGGAGACCATGGACTCCTATGGACTCACATGCAAAGGAGCACTGAGCCATATGCAAGGAGGGCCAGGCACAGCCATGGGGAGGACCAAGCTCAAGGAGCAGGCACAGCCATGAAGAGGACCAAGCTCAAGGAGCATGCAGATGGTTACCACTCAGGGGCTCGAGAGACAAGAGTCAAAGGAACCATCACTGGTCAAAGGAGAAGGAGCAGTGTATAGGGAACCAGCAAGCAGGTCCTGAGGAGGAGGAGCAGTGTCAAAGGAGTTGACACCACTCAGGAGGCACAAGGGTGCAAAACAAGCAGGATAGCAAGGAGGAGGAGCAGTGTCAAAGGAGTCGACACAGCTCAAGAGGCACAGGGGTGCCAAGCAAGCAGGAGAGGCCCCCTGAACAGTACTCAATGAAGAAGGTACTCTCTGGAGAGAGAGCAGGAGCAGCATCACTGGCGATGCTGTGAAGAGGTATATAACCATGCTTTCTCATCATCAAAGGTCAAGTGGATCCTCATCCACTCTACACACAACCATCATAACTAGTTATCACTTCAGCATAAGTATATATTAGTTTCAGTCAGCATAGCAGCAATCTATCAAGGTTGCTCCTCATTGTAGTGTGTGTGTTGTATCACCACTACCTGACGTCCGAAGGTGCCCCATAGCAGGTTAGCAGTCTGGATCAAGATAGAACCAAAGGCAGTAGTCCACTGTGGTCTGGGGATCACCTCAAGCATCAGTCAACACACTGGACACTCGTGTTGACACCACCAACCTTATCACCAACACCATCAACCTCATTACCATCAACATCCACCAACCTTATCACTGACACCATCAACCTCATCATCATCAACACTCACACCAAACCTTGGTGTCATCATAACCTACACATTGATATTGATTGTGCCAAGCTACCCCTGAACAGAGTGTCCACAGAGGTCAGCCGAAACCTACGATATTATATACCCAAATGCCACCCATCGCACAACTTGATAGTTGCCAAGCAACTAGCTTATCGAGACTGATACCGAGACAATAGCTGTTGCACAGTTTGATAGTCACTGAGTATCTTGACAGTCTGACCTGGGTTTCAGGCACAAGACCCCTGACAGTGAGCTGGAGCATTGGCTAGGCCAAAGGGCATCACTAGGTACTCATAGATGTCAGGGGTCTCGCACCTGAAACCCAGGTCAGTCTGTTGAGATACTCAGTGACTATCAAACTGTGCAACAGCTATTGTCTTGGTATCGGTCTTGATGAGCTAGTTGCTCGGCGACTATCAAGTTGTGCGATGGGTGGCATTCGGGTATATACTATCATAGGTTTCAGCTGACCTCGGTGGACACTCTGTTCAGGGGTAGCTTGGCATGATCAATATCAATGCTTAGATTAGGATGATACCAAGGTCTGGTGTGAGTGTTGATGATGATGAGGTTGATGACATTGGTGATAAGGTTGGTGGGTGTTGATGATAATGAGGTTGATGGTGTTGGTGATAAGGTTGGTGGTGTCAACACGAGTGTCCAGTGTGTTGACTGATGCTTGAGGTGATCCCCAGACCACAGTGGACTACTGCCTTTGGTTCTATCTTGATCCAGACTGCTAACCTGCTATGGGGCACCTTCGGACGTCAGGTAGTGGTGATACAACACACACACTACAATGAGGAGCAACCTTGATAGATTGCTGCTATGCTGACTGAAACTAATATATACTTATGCTGAAGTGATAACTAGTTATGATGGTTGTGTGTAGAGTGGATGAGGATCCACTTGACCTTTGATGATGAGAAAGCATGGTTATATACCTCTTCACAGCATCGCCAGTGATGCTGCTCCTGCTCTCTCTCCAGAGAGTACCTTCTTCATTGAGTACTGTTTGTCAGGGGGCCTCTCCTGCTTGCTTGGTACCCCTGGACCACAGTGGACTACTGCCTTCGGTTCTATCTTGATCTGGACTGCTAACCTGCTATGGGCGCCTTCGGACGTCAGGTAGTGGTGATACAACACACACACTACAATGAGGAGCAACCTTGATTGATTGCTGCTATGCTGACTGAAAACTAATGAGTACTTATGTTTCTAAAGTATTGACTAGTTGTATGGTGAGTAGAGTGGATGAGGATCCACTCGACCTTTGATGATGAGAAAGCATGGTTATATACCTCTTCACAGCATCGCCAGCGACGCTGCTCCTGCTCTCTCTCCAGAGAGTACCTTCTTCATCGAGTACTGTTTGTCAGGGGGCCTCTCCTGCTTGCTTGGTACCCCTGTGCCTCTTGAACTGTGTTGACTCCTTCAACACTGCTCCTCCTCCTTGCTATCCTGCTTGTTTGGCACCCTTGTGCCTCCTGAGTGGTGTCGACTCCTTCGACACTGCTCCTCCTCCTCAGGACCTGTCGACACTGCTCTCTCGAGCCCCTGAGTGGTAACCATCTGAGCTTGGTCCTCCTCATGGCTGCGCCTGCTCCTTGAGCTTGGTCCTCCTTGTGGCTGTGCCTGGCCCTCCTTGCATATGGCTCAGTGCTCCTTTGCATGTGAGTCCATAGGAGTCCATGGTCTCCATGGAGACTGCACTATGACCATGCTCTCTACTGGTATCGACTAGATCTCCGATACCTGTGCTCCTTCCATATGAACCAGTGACCCTCCTGCTTCTTGAGCATTCAGGCCCATGACACACTGCTCCTCCTCTTCATGTCCTTCTTGCTGGTGTCCTTTACACAGCTCTCCTTCCTTTGACTGGCGATGATTCTCCTTTACTCCTGTCCTGTGTGCCCCTGAGTGGTAACTGACTGCATGTCACTGAGCTCGGTCCCTGTCTTGGCAAGACTTGGTCCTTGGCCCAGCAGAGCTTGGTCCTCCTCACATGTGAATTGTCATATGGACATCCTTACTACTGATCTCCACGGAATCTGCCACATGATCTTGCTTGCTGCAGATTCTGGTGGGATTCGTGATATCGATGATGCTCATGCTGATTTCACTGAGATCTGTCATAGAGCTGATTATACTGCCGATCTCAGTGAGCTCTGCCACAAATCCTACATTCTGCCCAATCCCTTGATTCCTGTGCTGCCTTCATATGAACTTCAGTTCTTCCTTCTTCTCTGTGCATCCAGGCCCATGACAACTCCAACCCACCAGTGCTCATCCAGCATCGCTTTTGAGGCTGATGAAGTGGACAATGGTGATGGTGGCTCTGTTTTCTATTCTCCAGCCACAGGTACAATACCCAAGAAGTCTTGACCCTCCACTTCCAAGAGCAAGTGAGAAGAGCTGTCAGAAATTGTGTGGGCCTGCACCCAAGACATGCTTCAGGCAAGAATCAAGGTTGAGGAGGAATGCACAAAGAGGGAGGAAATGCACATTCAATTTGCCAGGGAAGAAAGTGAGAGACAAGAGCACATGCAAACTGAAGAGCATGGTTGGCTCATGGAGATGGTGCAGATGATGAACCCTAATCTACCCTTTGGCAACATTGCAGGAAGTAGTCAAAGCAATCTTGAACTTGACCCACTGGTTCTTGCCATGGATCAGCAGGACAACAGTGATTCAGCTTGTGAGTAGACCATTTGGCAAGAATGGTGTTCCTTTTGAGTTCTCCAAGTTCTGTTCCTGTGTTTCTGACTTATTGTACCATTGCTCTCTGTAAAGCTAGCTCTCAATATGTAAGACTAGCATACCCCATACCCAGTCTTCCATGTAATCTCTCAAATGTAGATTGCTTCAATGTGATGAATTGTTCCACATACAAGATGCTGATTGGTGTAAGTGTGGAAGAATGATCTTGGTGGAGGAATGCTGCATGTAGCCCTGGTTCCAAGCATGCATGTTGCACAGAACTCAGATGCACAGAACTCAGCTGCGTTGTGTTTGTAGCTTTGGACTCTCTTTTGGACCACATCATCCTCTCCTATTTCTGGCCCTCTACTTCAACCATGGTGTGCACTTCCGACAAACAGCACCTCCTGGACGACATTGAGACCACCATCATGCACTCATTGATGGTGGAATCCAAGATGCAACTTGATCTGATGGATGTCAATGCCACTTGGCACCCTAATGATGACCTTGAAGATTCTGATGATGACATGTTTGATCATGCTATCTCATTTGCACTCATCAGGACTTACAACATCATCAGCCAGTCTTGATACACAGTTGAATGCCTTCAACTGCCACAACGAAAGGATCCCCTCATCAACATGCTTGATCGATATGCTGTCATCAACCACAAGCTCTTTTGAGGGGCTGTTCACATGACCCCAGATGCATTCCAAGCTCTCACTTACAGACTCAGCACAACCAATGCCTTCAGATCAATATCAAGCTTTCGGCATGTTCAGCAGCAAGTGGCAGTTGGTCTATATCGGCTTGGACGGGCAGGAAATGGTGGTGGAGTTCATGATGTTGCATTTGCCTGCAGTTGCAGTTGGGGCTCAGTTCATGTGTGGACAGATAGGACTATTGCAGGCCTATATGAGCTGAACAGCAAGGTAGTAACCTTTGCAACTGAAGATGAGTGTGCTAAGGCAAAAGCATGGGCTGCTGATAAGAGTGGAGTCAAGGAATGGTCTAGAGGATGGTTGGTGGTAGATGGTACACACATCAATCTTGCTTGGAAGCCAGCACTCAATGCTCATGAGCATTACTCATACAAGGGTGATTATACATTCAACATTGCCCTTGTCTTCCTCCCTCATTCCTTGTGCATTGTTGAGTCAGTGGTTGGACATCCTGGGTCATCACATGATGCATGAGTCTGGGCTTCAGGCAGTGGTATTGTTGCGAAGCCTCATTTGCATCTTGATGAAGGTGAGTTTGTCTGGGTTGATGCTGGTTATGGCTACTCCAGCTACACAGTTGGACCATACAGCAACACTGCAGCTGCAAAGAGCAGAGATCTCCACTACTTCAACTATTCACTCTCCCGCATTTGTGTCAAGGCTGAACATGGCATTGCCTACCTCAAGAACTGCTTCCAATGTCTCATGGGATTTCGAGGCAACCTGTATCAAGAAGAGGACCATGAGAAAGCTGCACATATGGTCCAGGCTTGTATCATTGCACATACATTCACAAGCTGTTATGATTGACCAGATGAGGTGGCAGAATACCTTAAGGCATCAGAAACTCTATCTGAAGCTGAGGTGCTGGAGACCATGTCAGGGATGGAAGCATATCAGCAGGCTACTGAAGATGCAAGGATACAATGAAGGGAAAACCAGCAGCAATATGAACAGGAACAGGCTGCTGCCATGGAGGGCATGTCTCAGAACCGAGTCCAGAAGTTCAGGCAGGAGAAAGCACTGGATCTTAGGGAGGAGATGCTCACTGCACTCTTTGCTTCTCATGGCTGCCCTTTTGAGGACACAACAGCAGAATCTCAAAGGATGGGAATGACAACATTGGCCTTTGCCGAATGGCAGGAGAGACAAAACTGATGGCATGAGGCTCACAGAAGACAGTGATCAGAACAGGTGTGATGTAAGCTATTTGCTTTAGCTTTTCAATCAAAAGTTTTGGCATTGTTCAGTATAGTGTTCAACAATGTCTGATATGATCACTTTGATCTTGACCTGGTGTAGGGAATCAGAGATTGTTTTTACCAGCCAAGTCAAGTGAAACTCCAAGATGCACATGTCACAGGCCTGTGCAGTTTCTTGGGGCATCAAAAATTGGGCCCAAACATATTTTCAAAGTATTGTGTTTTCAAAACTCAGAGATAACTGAAACCCCCTAGTATTTACGAGCATCTTTCTAGCCATCAACCATCCTTCATCCCCTACCATTCTCTAACCCATACTATCATAGCCACAGAGCAGTTCTGCTATCACATCTATCATCCAAACTGCAGTCTCTACGAACATTCACACGCCGCCAGCCTGGGTTGAGCTTTCCAACCCGCAGCCTGCTAAATACCAGCCTTGCAAGGAAGATCGCCACCGCATCAATCACCCCTACCCTTCATCGTAACGCCGCCCCTCGACGACCAAACCTACCTCTAATCCCCATCAGAAGTTCACACACAATGTCGCTCAGCCCCGACCCCTGGGACTCCCTCTACAACGGCATGCTCCCCTTCCACGAACATTTCCGACACACTCTATCCCAAATCACAACCCTTCTTTCCACCGTTTCCCCCACTTCCCCCTCCAAATCCAAACTCTCCAACCTCGCCAACCTACTCTACTCCTGCGCTTCTCTCTGTCAATACCTTGAAACGCACCACACGATCGAAGAGCGTTATATCTTCCCCGTCCTCGCTAAGAAATTGCCGCAGTTCGGACACTCGAGTCAACATACAAAGGAGCACGCACAGATGCATAAAGCCATCGAAAACCTGGAGAAGTATGTAGGGGAAGTGAGCAAGGCGTTACGGAGTGGAAAGGTGAGGGAGGGAGAGTTGGAAGAGGTGTTTGATTATGCGAAGATAAAAAAGTTGGTGGATGGGTTGAGGGATGTGTTGTTGCCTCATTTGGAGGCTGAGGAGGCTAGTTTGAGGGCACCGGTGGTTAAGGCTGCTGGGTTTGAGTTGAGTGAGATTAGGAATCTTATCAGATAGATGGAAGCTGCTGTACGATAGATGGATTTGATATAATGTACAGTACTGTATTGTATGGGTCAGATGGGTATATGTGTGATGGTACATACAGTGTGAGTTAGAGAGTGCGAACGCTTCGTGGACCATTCTCCGATTCTTCTTCTTCCGCTGCATCAAGTTCTCCTCCCCATTCCTGAGCTCCATTACGGTAAGCTACGGCAGCGTCCAGCCTTCCCTTATACTCCCTTATATAAGTCGGGAACTTTTGATAAATCGCAAAAAGCCCACTCTTCTTTGCGAATACAACCTTGACCAACGCTATTCCAATCTCTTCTGGCACAACCGGCCATTGCTTCCCCCCTTGATCTCCGGTAACATTCTGCAGTAGACCCTTGAAGAGTAATTCGTCTTCAGCCTTAAGCACCGCCTCCTCCTCCTCACCCCCCTTCAGTGCTCTACCAATCCACTCTTTCGGAATGACTTTATGCTCCACAATCACCCCCTTAGCCAGTTCTACCCTCCTTGGTCTGGGCACGGCTTGTAGCGCCGAAACGACCGCCGCTTTTGCGACTATTTCTAAAGCTTTTATGCTCTTCTCACTTGCCCGGTTTTGCGCAGAAAGTGCTTGAGCATAGCGGCTCACTTCGTGAGCAAGCGAGAGCAACACCCGCCACATCTGACCTCGGCAGGCGAGGAACAACGTATGTGCTTCGATAGCGGTTCTATATAACCCAAGCTCAAGCGCAAGATCGCCTGCTGTGAGTGCAAGTCCATGCGTCACAGTCCAGTTCTGCAACTTCACCTTTTCCATATTCACGCTTGGAAAAGAAGAGGGTGCAGTGGGCGGAAGAACCATCCCCGAGTAGCCCGAACGAGAATCACCAGCTCCGACGCGGATTTCTCTCATGCTAAACGCCAGAAAGCCGCGGGCTAAGATGTTCAGATCCACCTTCTCGAGTTGATGCGTCTTGTTGCTAGAGCTGGACGAGGGTACCCATGTTTCGATGCTCGTCAAAAAAGACGTTCTGAGCAGTGAGAGGAGCGAACGAACACCGGAATCAACAACATCTTTGACCACCCCCCAATGCTTACTCATCTCCCTCTCCGCTTTCGACCTTTGTAATGCCATTTGAGAGCTATCATAATCTCCCTCCTCCGCCTTCTTTCCTCCCTCTGCGAACGGGAAGTCTATCCCCATACTCAGCGCGAAAGAAGCAGCGTAGGATAAACACTTCTCGAAGTGTCCCTCGGTATAAAGATAGTTAGCGGTCCATTCTTGATTTGTTGTTCCTGTTCGATCTGCTTTGCGCTGTGCGAGGAGATCGTTTGGGCTGGGAATGGTAAAGGTGGCGAGATCAAATCGGTTAGTGGTAATTGATGGGGTGGCAGGGGAAATGTACCAAGTGGGAGTATCAATTTTGGCAGTGTATGTGGCTTTGGCATGTTCGAAGAGAGCTTTCAGTTTAGCTGCGCGAGGGTCTTCGTTGCCGTTCTCGACGATGTCTAGGTCGTCTAGGAAACCGTGCAAAGCAGAGAGGTCATGTTCTGTCATCTTGTACGCTGTCCTTGTATAGAAATGTTTGTAGAGGATGGGGGCGATGTGGGGTGGTTAGGAAGAGGAGGAAATGAGCATGAAGGAAAGTGTGAGAAGAAAGGGTTTGGTAATCGCCGTGGATTGAAAAAAATCATCGCCGATTAAGATCTTGAGGAGATAGATCGGAAGATCGGAAACCCCCACACAGAGAATTGGGCGAATGCGGCGGTGAGAGCGGCCAAAGCGGCAGTTGAACTGTTCCTGACTTGTGCTGAATATGGGTTATCGCCCAGCTCAACACAAGCAGAGGAGGACCCTTCCAACACTATCATCACCACCATCTCACCATTCACCTTTCCCTTCATATGCGTCGACTTCGCCATCTCTGATTTCAGCACCGTCCTTCGATCGTATCCGTTCAAGTCGCGGCAAGGTCGCAGTCACGATGAGACCAACAGTAATGTCTAAGCTGCGGCGAGTTTCAGCATCCGTCATCGTTAACGTCCTCACCGCGCTCCTCATCGCATTCCTCGCCCTCACCCCACCAGTCAACGCCACCTCCACCGCCCGAGGCCTCAACCCCATCCTCGAAAAGCGATACCTCCAAACCTACCGCTCCATCTTCTCCACCACCACCAACACCTCGAACCCTCCCAACCATTCACCCAACTGTCCTCCCTGTCCCGAACCTTCATGCTTCAACTGTCAGCTCCCCGCCTACGAATGCTACCAATTCGGCGAATGCAACGAATACGACGGTCTCTGTTCCTGTCCCGTCGGATTCGGTGGACCTGACTGTCGCTCCCCGCTCTGCGGTTCCCCCGCTGACGGCACAAAACGATTCCCTAAAGGCGAACCGGGCGATAAAGACTCCTGCTCTTGCTCCGACGGTTGGTCCGGTCTCAACTGTAACCTTTGCAACACCGATGCTGCATGCTCCAATTTTATCCTGGGCGGAGAACGTCTCGGCGAGAATGGAACATGTTATGATGGTGGGGCAACTATGCAGCAGAATTTTCAGGAATGCGATGTGACGAATCAGAAGATTGTCGACATGCTACCTGACAGACCACCGCAGGTTACGTTCAGCTGCGATAAAGGGGAGGCGAGTTGTAACTTTCAGTTCTGGATCGGAGCGAGAGAGTCGTTCTATTGCGGATTGGAGGATTGTGAAGAGACGATCGAGTTGGGGAAAACGAGCAACAGGACTTCCTACGATTGTAAAAAGGTCAGTTGTAAGTGTATTCCGGGGAGGATGCTTTGTGGGGAGTCGGGGAGTATCGATATTTCGGACTTTTTGACGGAAGAGATTAAGGGGCCAGGCAAGATGAGTTGTAAGACGGAGGCGAGTGGGGATGGGGCAAGAAAGTGTCGGTTTGAAGAGCCGGGTATGAACGGGCTGATTTCGGATGTGTTTGGTGATGAAGCTATTTTCATCACGTGTAAGTCAGGGGAGTGTATACATTTCAGTCAGGTCCCAGGGTATCAGACTCCAATTGCGCCGGAGAAGCCGACTACGTGGGTGGTGATCAGTGCCATCGCTGCGATCCTCGTAGTGGTAGTGTCGGTTAGCTTGCTTTGGTTGCTGGGTAGACACTACAAGGAGGATGCGATGGGGAATGTGAGGTTACCGGAGGAAGAGGCGGATCTGATGAAGGACCATATTCCTGCTGCACTTCATTGGGAGAATGTTGGGTATAGGATTGGTAGTAAAGCGCTTTTGGATGGAATTACGGGGAGTGTTAAGCCAGGAGAGGTGGTGGCGATTGTGGGTGCTAGCGGTGCGGGGAAGACTACCTTTTTGGATATTTTGGCTAGGAGGGAGAAGAGAGGTGTGACATCGGGAACGGTGTTGGTGAATGGAAGGAAGATGTCGAATCAGGAGTATAAGCGCGTGGTTGGGTTTGTTGATCAGGAGGATTTGTTGATGGAGACGCTGACGGTGTACGAGACGGTTCTTTATTCCGCCTTGCTGCGGTTGCCGAGGGATATGTCGTTGGAGGCGAAGAAGTTTAGGACTCTCGAAACGATGCAAGAGTTGGGGATCTTGGGCATTAGAGACAGCCGTATTGGCGGATCAGGTTTCACTGCTGGTGGTAGCAAAGAGGGAAGGGGGATTAGTGGTGGTGAGAAGCGACGTGTTTCGATCGCTTGCGAACTGGTCACAAGTCCTAGTATTCTTTTCTGCGACGAGCCGACCTCGGGTTTGGATGCGTATAATGCGTTCAATGTCGTTCAGTCGTTGGTGACGCTGGCCAAGACGTATAAGAGGACGGTCATCTTTTCGATCCATCAGCCCAGGAGTAATATTGTCGCGCTGTTCGATAAGTTGCTGTTGTTGGCGGAAGGGAGGGTGGTGTATTCCGGACCGTTTGATAGGTGTAGCGACTACTTTGATCAGGTGGGACATCCTTGTCCGCCTGGATTCAATATTGCGGATTTCTTGATTGATTTGACTGCGAGACGCAACTTTGGGCTGGGAGACGGCGAGCACGAAGGGGATGACGTCGAGGGTGGCGATTCGAGAGGAAGTGTGCAGCATAGTAGGACGGATACGAGTGTCGTCACTACGGGTACGAGCTCGAGGGAGGAATCCACCGAGCTTCGTACACGACCCAACTCGATCGCTGAGGACGGCTCTGATGGTGTTGGAAGGCTACGCAAGAAGACCTCACGTCTGGCCGATGGGTTGCGCAATGCCTTCGCAAACGGGCAATCGAACGGTAGCGACGTATGGATGCCAGCCTTGAGCAGCGGCAAGCTCGTCCACCTAGTCAACGCATTCTCTGAATCCGACATTTCCACCACCACCAAATCCGAACTCGACGCTTTCCTCGGCCGCACTCCCGAAGGAATCCAAAACAATCTTCCTGATCTCGCCAACGAATCCTCCCTCCTTCGCAGCTATAAGAAAGCTCCCCTGTGGACTCAATTCAAGATCCTCTCCGGTCGAGCGTTTAAGAATCTATACAGGGATCCGATTTTGATGTTTGCGCATTTCGGATTGGCGATCGTACTAGCCTTGTTCTGCGGAGTACTTTACCACGGGGTTACGAACGATATTTCTGGATTCCAGAACAGGTTGGGGTTGTTTTTCTTCATTCTTTCCCTCTTCGGCTTTTCTTGCCTTACGAGTCTGGGAATGTTCGCAAACGAAAGAGCCCTCTTCGTCAGGGAGAGAAGCAACGGATACTATTCACCTCTAACCTATTTCACCTCGAAACTCTTATTCGACATCCTCCCACTCCGCGTGGTCCCACCATTCCTGTTCGGTGGATGCGTATACTTCTTAGTCGGCCTAGTACCAGGTGTTGCGGAATTTTGGAAATTCATCCTCACCCTCGTGCTTTTCTCCCTCTCCGCATCCTCGGCGGTCTTTTTCATTTCGATCGCCATTTCCGATACTGGTCTCGCCAACCTGGTTGGTTCCCTCACCATGCTTTTCTCTCTCCTCTTCGCGGGTCTACTCATCAACAGGGACAGAATCCCAGGATATCTCAAATGGCTTCAACACCTCTCATTCTTCCACGCCGCATACGAAGCGTTGATAGTAAACGAGCTAAGGAATCTAAGCCTGAAGGAACACAAGTATGGCATCGATATCGAGGTGCCGGCCGCGAGTATTATTAGTAGTTTTGGGTTTAATAGTCAGGCGTTTTGGTTTCCAGATATTGTAACGTTGGCGGTGCTGTTTGTTGCCTTTACGGCGGCTAGTTTGGGGTGGTTGGTGATGTTTGTTAGGGAGCGAAAGTAAACCTCCCTTCTTGTCTAGACTTTGTCATCCCAGCTGTTTATGTTTTGTTTTGCAATTGTGCTGTAGACTTTCACTTAGGAAATGTGTGATGCTGTGCTTGGTTTGACATTAGGGTTTGGGTGAAGGATGCGAACATGAATCGAAGCTGGAAGTGGATGGTGCAAACGATTGCATAGTGTGGCTAGAACACTGTGCCGTCGGAAAGAACATTGATCGGAGGCCCGCCCCCAGTCTTCCCCCTCTTCTCGCTCGCGATTTCCCTACCTGCCTTCCAAGTCGCAGCCTCCAAAAGCTGTTTCAGATCCAACTGCTCCTCTCTCAACCCTAACTTCTGTCTAATCTTCTGCGCTTGTCTATCTAACAAGATCACTGTAAGCGCGCGCCATTCGACTATCGCTGCATGTTCAGCAGGCAAGCTGGGCACTGCTCCCGCTTTTGTCTGACTCGCCTCAAGTAAAGAAGCTTTGGGTGTCAGCACACCTAAATCGACAAACAGCCCTCCATTCCTGTATTCGGGCAAACCAGTTGCGTCTTCACCCCGAACAAATCTCCATCCGAGAGTCTTTTCCATCGCTTCCAACAACGAATAGTTCAACCACTGAGTCAACTTATGAAACGGGACTAAACTCTTCTCATTCCCCAACTCGACCTTGTTGAGCTTAGCTAGGATGGAGTTAGGCCAAACATCGCCCATTGCGACACCATCTATCTTGCTCCTACTTGCGGGCCAGATGGGTGCAAGACCGTACATCAATACTTCCCATAACGCCGGAATGGGAACTTCTACAACCTGGATCATCTTTTCCACACCTGGATGTCTTGCTAAATAGTCGACCAAAAATCCTGGTCGTCTCTCGCCAGGTGGAGCATCAGGATCAGGACCAACGAAGAAGCCGTTTGTGTCCAATTCAAGTGCTTCTCCAAGCCGAATGAGGAGGTTTGTTCTGCCTTCGAGTCCAGTCATCGGGTTTGAGTGTGGATGAACTTGCAGATCGATAGCCAACATGTCTGGCGATAGATTCTTTAGTCCGCCTGCTGTGACTACGTGGCGATCCGAGCCCTCAGCATCAGGATTAGAAGAAAAACGACCGGAAAGAAACATTTCCAGACTTGCTACGGCTAGTCCTTCGGAACGGGAGTAAGTGAGACCGGTTTTCTTCTCTTCATACTTCCATGCGGTGCCTGCTCCAGCGTCTAGGAGGACAGAGACCATGAATAGGTCTACTAGTCTTCTGGCTGCTTCGATTCTGTCTACTACCGGAGCTGAAGTTACCGCTCCAGCTGAAGCAGCAGAGTTGGAGTGAGAAGAAGGCTTAACACCAGCCCACTCACTCAACAACGTCGTAATCCGAGGTATTCCTCCAACGTCAAAATGTCTCCATCTTCCATGAGGTGGGATGGCGGCATAGTTGGTACCGAAATCACGTTGTATGATCTTGATGCAGTAGTCTGCAACGGCGTCTTCAGCGTTAGTGTTGTAGGTGAAGTATTCGCCTTCACCAGTGGTGGCGACGTGGTCGAAGATGGTTGTGCAACGTGAACGGACCGAGGGGAGGGTGCGAAGGTATGCTACTTCTGGAGAGATGCCAACGGCTGGATTGGGATAGGGCTTGGACATCTTGAGAGATGCTTTATGGTGAATGACGGTAGTGGGGAAATACGTGAGGAGGAGAGGTTGAGGGAAGGTGTGAAGGAGTGAGGAGAGGGGTCAAGGCGGATTGCGGGGAATCGGATGGCTCGTGCGGTGAAAGCGCTGCGCATACACACCCTGCATCAACGGCGCGTTTCTGACGATCCGAGTTCAGGGTCCAAGTCAACTCCACCTTTTCCCTTTTGCAACAGCTCGTAGTTGGGCGTTGCCTCTCCTTGTTGTAGTTCAGAGGCGAATATGTTTTGTACCAACTTGAACTGATCCCTTGGGCCATCTTTCTAGATCTGCACTGGTGAGCATTGATACAGAACACGTAAGCAGCGCGAATTGCAAAGTCAGTGTCACAGAAGGAATGCTTCAAGACAGGCTCTTATCGCAGAAACGCACTGCTTATCGGTTTAATCCGATTAGCCGCCGCGTCGCCTTGAAGCACTGGCTCCCCTGCCTCTTCCCAACTAAAGCGTCCTTTTAAAGCCCTCACTCGTCCTCATGAAAGCAAGAGAGCAAGGGACGACATCAGCTTGAGAAATCAAGAAATGATGATGTGAATTGCGTGCCCGAGTGTTGCCGGGTATGGTATCTAAAATGAACAAAGACGACGAGAAAAGTAGTTCAAGGAGATGCAATGGGTCAAAGAAGTGTGTTGAAGGGCGAGATCGATTCGAGTTTAGATATGCACCTGAACGATGCTTGGTATTCTTGGTTCAGGACCCATTGGAACGCTTGCGAAGATACTCTTCATGCATTTCGCGGCGTGTCATGTTGCTTTGCGAACGGTGATGTTGCATCGAAGCAGGTCGAGTAGGTGGTGGAGGCATGCTCGCTGCTGCATGCTGTTCCTTTTGACGTTCTGTCTCAGCTTTGAGCTTAATGACGCGTTCTGAGAGGTCTTCGAGCACAGCAAGCCTATCGTCCTGTCTACTGTTCGTTGGCTGATTGTGGGTGGGTTGTGAGGATCCGATCATGCCGCCTCCTAAGCTTTGGCTTCGACCATGGGCAGAGATTGCACCCGGCCTATCGCTTGGCGGAGAGGAGATGTTGGATGGAGAGGACGAAGTTTGCAGGGTGCCGGATTCGTCGACTGACGAGAAAGCACCTCGGGGTGGTGAAAGACCTTTGGTCCTGCGCAAACTCCGGCATGATTTATTGGGAGAGCTTCCTTGGTCGCGCTCTACGGGCGATGGCAGCGTAGTGGTGTTGTTCGCGTCAGAGTTTTCGTCCACTTTCTGTCCCTGCTCCTTCTGCTTCAAGAACATGCGCAACGTATCCAGCGCAACTGAAACTTCGTTGAAGCCAACCTTGCCCTGTGGCTTGGCAAAGAGGCTACCAAGTCTGTCCGGCGATGTCTCAAGGAGAGATTGTGGTCGTTGCACCGCTTGCGAGAGCCCATCGCTACTGAGAGCTGTTCTCTGCAGAGACACACTGTGCCTAAACTTGGCTGAAGAAGAAGAAGAAGCAGAGGATCCGGGTGGTATGATAGCGTCACTTGACCTTGTCAACTTCATCGCAGCACTGCTGCTCGAAGGTGGTGGCTCCCCTTGCGACACACCTCTAGCTCGACGAAGCGCAAGTGCAGTACCTGAGATACGTTCGGTTGGGGCTGAGGGCCCATCTGAGCCTGCACCACCGCCGCTGGAACCAGATCTCGTTGTGCTCGACATGCGTAGCGATCCAGTGGCAATGTGAGATCTGGGCCTAGTCGGACCCGTAGTCCCTGTAGATTGCTGAGTATCGAGAGCAGCAGCGTTGCCTATAAAGCTACGGCTGCTTGTGCTGTCGCTACTGCTTGGACGTGCAGATCTCATGTTCTTGTTGTATGGCTCCGCCATCAGTCGTGATCGTGTCGATGATGCAGAGACAGATAGAGAGTCAAAAGAAGCACGTTCATCTGCTTGTGGCTGAAGTGTAAGTCCTGGACTGGTAGGCATGATCGGGTTCGAAGTACGCTCTCGCAGCAAGACACTGTCTCGATTCCTTGGCCAGGTTCGCCACCGCTCGTCTGCCATTTGCTCAATCGAGACGGATTGTCCGAACTCGCTGAAGTCGTGCATAGCCACTTCAGGGGTCATCACCGAAGGCGATTGCGCATCGGAACTTTCCGACGGGCGTTCATTCGGCTTGCTTGGTGGCCGATTCTGACTGTAGCTGATGCCGATGGAAGAGGCAGAGGTGGGCACGAACTGACTGTCGGCACTGGCGGAAGGCGGACTTGTCATGTCATTCAAAGAGGTGTCCCACGTCGGAGTACTGCTGTGTGACGTGAAGCTCGCTTCTGTTGTTGCGCCAAGAGATGTGTTCCAGGTATCTTTCCCCTGCCATGTCACCCGTCCACCTCTGCTGTCATTCGTGAAAGATGATGATTGTTCGGAAAGTCCGACCGCTTGTCCTTCTGAGTTTAGGATCCAGCGTCCCATCTCGTCGACCGACATCAATGATTGATAAGGAGCGTTGGCGAATCCGAGTGCCATCGATTCGGCAGGCTCTGTGTCCAGCTGTAAGCCAAGACCTGCGATCTCTCTCCCATCCCTGGCCGAAGCATCAGATGCCTGATGGTTGCTTTCATGTCTCAATCCAACATCTGCGCTATACATATCGCCAGGCGTTTTTCTTTGACAGCTTGCCTTCTCGAATCTGCCAGGCTTTGCAAGTATAGCGCTGCTGCTGCAAGCAATGATCCTAGGAGCAGGCTGCAACTGAAATGAAGACTGGCCATGTGAAGGGGCAGTCGAGGCTGGCACATGACCCATGGCACCAGATCCGACAGAATGTCCGCTACTGAGGCCCATAGAGCTGCGGATCCGGATCGGGTGTGCTTGAACAGGGACATCAGATCGATCAACTCGTCGTGGCATGCTGAAGATGAACGGTTGCGCAGAAGCAGACATATGCCTCACTTCAGCTGTTTGAGCCAGAAGGCTTCGAGACAGCTGTTCAGTAAGATGTTGGCTCGGCAGCAAGTGGGTCGACATGCTAGGTGTGTCCTGTTCCTGCATGGCACTCATAAAGGAGCCATCACTGAAGCCGGACGGATAGGCCGACGAGAATTGTGTTGGTGACCATGCTGCAGCTGAAGTCGGGCTGCAAACTGCCTGACTGGTCGAGACATCCGATGACCCCCTTTCGACCTCGTAGATACCGATGCGCGGATCGCTGGACGGCTGTTCGCGGTATGCATGGAATGGTCCTGCAGATGTGTCGACACTTTGTTGGTGTGGAATCGCCAGTGAATTCGGGGAGAAAGAGCCAGGCAGATATATTTGTGTAGGGTGTGTCGCCGGCTCGCCAGTGGACACGTCTCTCAAAGATGCCGTTGGTGCCGCAGCGATCGTTTTTGACCGGCTCGCAAAGATGTTGAAGGATTTGCGAGGTGACGGTCCAGACATCAACCAACCTTGATCTTGCTCCGGGAGCCGGGATGTAGATGCGCACTGACCTGCCGACGTCGATGCCGAAGCATAGCTAGCATGCTCCAATTGATCCACATCAGATGGCAAGATCCACGGTGAGAATGGTGTAGTAGGCCACTGGGACGCCTCGTGCCCTGTCAGAGTCAAAATACGAGGAGCGTCAGGTGCTCGAACCGGCGTTCGCAGCGCATCGGGTCTGGTGGGAGTTGCCTGATGTGAGGAACATGCAGCGTGCGTACTTCTTGTCGGCATTGATTGAGCAGTCGGTGTGAGAGTTGCTTTTCGAGCTGACGTCGGTGTCGAGATATTAAGCGCATTACTGAGAGTGGATACGAAGGATGCCGAAGAGGTGTGCTTTTGTTCAGAACGAGCAGGGTCGTGGACCTTGCCTCCGTGCTGCGATCGAGTCCCATCTCGTGAAGAGTGCATTGCGCAGACTCAACGCCAGCGCGACAAGCGGATATATCTATGAGGTAAAGCGCGACAGCAAGCTTGAACCAGCGTTCGCAAGTTCCGGTCAACCATGTGTACGTTCTGTTGCCTGACTTCGACGGTAGTTGGATCAAACAGCCAGCAACGATGAGATGGAGGGAGTGTGAGAGCCAATGTGAAAGTTGCGCACCGATGACAGAACAGTCGTCTGTGTCCGCAGCAATGGCGTTCGTGGTTAGATCAGGCCAAAGCGCTAGCTCCACTGCAAAGTAGCGTTGGCGCGAACCGTCGATTCGAGTTGGGCGATCAGATGGGTATCAGGCGCAGTTGAGAACCGTGAGAGAAGCGCAGGTCGTGTATGTTGAGTTGAAGGTCGCAGCCAGCCTGGCGACGGCGATCTAGATTGCTGAGGTTACTGGTGTTAGTGGATCTACGGTCAAGAAGGACGATGAGGTAGGGTCCGACCCTGAGAAGCTACGGAGCAAGCTTGGCAGCAAGAACAAAAATGGTAGTTGTGGACGCCGAGTGGTGGAATAGTCTGCAACTTCTTGAAGCCTCCGCTGTGAAAAAGACGATCAGGGACCAATGACCGGCAGTCGGAACTCGAAGGCTATGCAAAGGAGGAGGAGGAGGAGCATGGGTTCAGGGACGGAAGACTATGGGCAGATCGCCAGCCTGCACAAACACTAGATTCCTATGGCACATCACCATTCCCTACATCACCAAGGCTTGACCCTTCCTCACCCCGCAACTTTTCGACAACATCGTCCTTATCTGGCTCCAGAGAACTCGGACGACCAGTGCTAGAGGTGACCACCAAGATGTTCACTGCCAGCTCGTCAAACCCTACAGCTCAGTCTGGGACTTCAGCAAGTCCGCTGCAGCTTGCAACTTCAGCGTCAGATGAGCCGGAACTCGATCCAATCGAACCAGCTCCAACTGATGTCGCCTTTCATGCCGAGCCACAAGGCTTGATGCAGATGCTCAGCCTTGTCGGAAGTACCTTCTTCGAAGCCGATCGCGAAGGCTTTGTGGAAGACTGGCTTCTTCAGCTGACTCGTCGATGATCTTGCAGAAGGGCTCTGAGCTTGGTAAATCGAGCAGCCTTTCGCACATGATCTGGTTTGTTGTCGTTTGCTCCGACTCAGCCCCTTACCTTCACCTCTCGACCATTGGGTCGAGAGGTGATGTCCAACCGTATATCGCACTCGCAAAGGGCTTGCAAGCAGATGGTCATCGAGCGAGAATCGCAACCCATGCCGAGTTTGGGGATTGGATCATCGGTCATGGTATCGATTTCAGCGAGATTGGCCGTGATCCTGCTGAGCTCATGCGGATCTGTGTCGAGAATGGCACCTTCACCGTCTCTTTCCTACGTGAAGGAATGACTAGGTTCTGTGACTGGCTCGACGATTTGTTAGCATCAGCGTGAAGAGCGTGCCAACGCTTTAGTTGTTCGAGGTGCTGGTTTCACCACACTACGCAAGATCGATGCAAGATGTCTCATCTCTCTTCACAGCAGAGCAAGCGAGCATAGCGCACAGAAAGTGGCTGCGGCGGAACGAAATGGTAATAAGCGGGTCAAACAAAAGGTGCCAGCGCTTTAAAAAGGCATGGCGAATCTTCTCATTACTTATCGTACGTATGGATACATGCGCACTTTTCAATCGTGAGCGAAGGGGACCAACGCGTGTCACTCCATTTCGTCACAATGCCTTAACCTGTCCTGCTTGCTCTTCTCTCTTCCTTCTTCTCCATCACCTTCTCTTCCTTTGTGCTTGCCTCCAGGCTGCACTTTGTTAAGGTTGGTGTTGCACTCAACACATCATGAAAAGAGTCACAAGTGTGGTGCCAGTTCCCACACATAGGAGCCACATGACACTGTGACTGAGTCCAACACTTTTTGAAAAAAGATAGGGGTCCAAAAACACAAGATTCTGTCACAGTATCAGCCTGTTTGCTTGCTTCTCTCACCACCTCATCACCCAAGAGCATTCAACAAGCCAACACAGCCTTGGCCACAAGTGGACAAACTGAAGGACAGCATGCACTTACTTGCTTAAGATATCACATCTGATGGCCCAGTGTGGCTTGCAAGATCAACAGCCGAGAGAGGCTTCTAGCACCTCTCTCTGGGAAGATTTCGATGATCCATTGATGCCTTTGCTGGCATCCCAATGCTGCTGTCAACGATAGCACACCTGAAATCCGAAATCTGCTGGAAGAGCTTGATCTGGCAGATTTCAGCGATCCCAGCCTGGCTCACACGGCCGTAAATGAGATCAGTCGGTTGATGCAGAAGACAATATGGAGGTCCTGTTAGATTGCGGGTCAGCGAGGTGGCTCGCTGGCTCAAAGGCTCCCAGCCCACTGTAAGGGGGCCGATTGAGCGCAGAGAAGAGTGGGTCATACAGGCGGAACGTAAGGGAGGGAATCGGGTGGGAAAAAGAAGGGTTTTAGCAAGGTCGGTGTTGTGTGACTCTTGCGAGAAGAGGAGATGGTGGTGGGAGAGAGAGAGCGAGGAGTGAAATGGAGCTTATATATACAGTCATGTCCAAAATTGCCCAGCATCTTTTAGGATAATTAAATGCTCATCACCACACATCAACTTCACTTCTCAAGAGCTGGTATCCTCAATGAAGTGTAGCTTGTGACATATTGTTGGAAAGCTGAGATTGAGAGCTACAAGTACATATAAGTTTTGTTGTGATTGGACCACATTTGTGTGCAGTGAAAATGCCACAACTTTTTTTTTGAGTGTAAAGCTCCTCCTAAATTACTATATACTATACTTTAGTATTTTGTATGACCCCCTTTTGCAACCCTTACAGCCTGTAACCTCCTGGGCATTGACTTTATGTGTGCCTGGACTGATTCCTTCAGAAAAGTTGCCCAAAACCTGTTGATAGCTGCAATGAGTTGAGCTTTATTGTTGATAGTATATCTTTGCTGATATAGCTGCTTTTTCAGCTGCTGCCACACATGTTCTATAGGATTCAGGTCTGGAGACATTGCAGGCCAGGGCAATACATTGATTTTGACCTCCTCCAGGTACTCCTTGGTGACTTTGGCAGTGTGAGGGCAGGCATTGTCTTGCTGAAAGATCAATTTATCCCTTGGTGGAATTCTCTGTATATTCTTCCACTTCAAGATGCTACCAGGCACTGCTTCCTCCAGCAACTCAATGTAATGCTCTGAATTCAGTTTGTCATCTATATAGACCATTAGACCTAGGCCTGCCCAGGTCATACACCCCCAAATCATGATGCTGTGGCCACCCCCCTGCAGTGTAGGTATATATATATCATAGTTGACATCCCTGGACCAGTATCACTTTTCCAAGCCCTTTCCAATGTGTTGAACCTTGCATTCATCACTCCAGATGACATTCTTCCATTGTTCAACAGTCCAATGTCTATACTCCTTGGCAAACACCCTCCTTGCCTTCCTATGTTTATCTGTGAGCAAGGGTTTTCTCCTTTTTGCCCTAAACTTAAGTCCAGCTTGCTTCAGCACACATGTAATGGTTTGTCTGGACAAACAAAGTTGATAGTGTCATAGCCAGTAGGCTGAAGCTTCAGTAGCCAAAGTATAAGAATTCTTGCTAATTCCTCTGGTGAGTAATGCCTGTTGGCATGAGGAGAGGAGGAGGGGCCTCCCAGGGGTCCTTTTCACATATTCACTCTCTGGTACCCATTTTGCCAGTTCAGCAATGCTAGATTTGTTGATAGACAGTTTAGTTGCTATCTCCCTTGTTGAGAAACCTGCTTGGAGCAGCTCTTTGACCTGTAATAGGTGAGTGGTGGTGTGTTTAGTCCTCCCCATATCGATTTTTTGCCCTCCTTGCTATGTTGACAGCAGTATTGCCATATGATGTCCTAAGCTTGTCAAAGCACCCCAAAACATCTTTGTTTATATCATACTACAATCATATGAAGTTTCAAGCATGGTCTATTAGCTCAATTCTGTGCAAAGTGATAAGTTACACAAGGTACAGAATTAATTGAGGAGGAGGAGGGGCTTCAAAGAGCACCAACCTAAATTCCAGCATATTCTTTGGTGGGACCACCCTTTTTCTCTCACATATTCTGATAGCATGCTATCCAAGCTTTGCAACCATACCACACAAAGTGGGTGTTGTCAAAGAGAACAAAGAGTACTGGTCATCATCATGAAAAGGACTTGAGAACACCATATCAAATTAATTAGATGCTGGGCAATTTTGGATGTGACTGTACAAAATGAGTGGTTGAGTCGGTTTGCGACAGCGGAGCAAAACAAAGCATCTGACTGAGTAGGTTGTGACACTTGTGGCCTGTGCTCAGATGCGCACGCCAAGTCACATGCAGCAGATGTATCAAGTGAGCTTGTTCCAACCGATCTTGGTGAATTACATCGAGTGACTGTATTCTGATGAATTTTGACTGACTGCTGTGAATGCTCCGTTCAGAGGTAGTGCAGCACATTCAGAGTTCTTGAATGCTTGAATTGAGTGATGATATGACTATACCAAATGTTTAGTATGATGACACCTGGGTCATAGGACTGGATGTGCAGAAGAACTAGACTGGCTTGAGAAAAGGCCATGCACAAGAATAATGGGATTGGGTGAATAGTGGGTTCCAACAGAATTCGTTGGGGTCAGTAGGATCAAGGCCTTATGACAGAGTTTGTTGTGATTGGTAGGATCAAGATTGTATGACAGTGTCTGTTGGGATCAGTAGGATTGAGATGTTATGACAGAACTTGACGAAACCAAATAAAGGGTGCCACTCCCACCAACATCACAAGGAGGGATATGCAAGGGGAGGACTTGCCACTCAGATGAGGTGGGAGAGACCCCTATACGATGATGAGCTTGGCATAGGAGGGTTGGCATCATCATCTGAAGAGAGTGCAGAACTACAAGGGGCAAGACATAGGAGGATGTGCCCCACCACCCAGATGAAGTGGGAGCGACCCCTGTCAATGATAAACTTGCACTGGTCGTCCTTAACCACAAGGAGCAGGAGTGAGGACAGGACAGAACACATACAGAGTGTCACAGGGTCTGCGCAGAAGATTCTGGACATGCATGGATGCACAACTTGCACACAAAAAGTGAAAACAATAGTACTATGGAGTTACAATTGTTTTCAGTAAAAACAATTGTAACAAGCTAGTTCAATTGGCTTAACCATGTGAACTGCAATAAGGGGCTAGGACATACATAGGGGGAGGCCCAAACATAGGAGCACACAGCAAGGTTACCACATGGGGGGATGATAGCACATAGGATAGGGAATGCACAATAGAAGTGTCTGCAAGGTCAGGAGGTGAACAATAGAAGGGTCCACCAGGTCAGGAGTGTCAGGGGTCTCGCGCCTGAAACCCAGGTCGATCTGTCGAGATACTTGGTGACTATCAAACTGTGTGACAGCTATTGTCTTGGTATCAGTCTCAATGAGCTAGTTGCTCGGCGACTATCAAGTTGTGTGATGACAGCAGGTGGCATTCATTGTATATACTGTCATAGGTTTCAGCTGACCTCTGGGGACACTCCATTCAGGGGTAGCTTGGCATGATCAATATCAATGCATAGGTTATGATGACACCAAGGTCTGGTGTGAGTGTTGATGATGATGAGGTTGATGGTGTTGGTGATAAGGTTGGTGAGTGTTGATGGTAATTGTCATGGGCCTGGATGCTCAAGAAGCAGGAGGGTCATGGGTTCATATGGAAGGAGCACAGGTATCGAAGACCTAGTCGATACCAGTAGAGAGCATGGTCGTAGTGCAGTCTCCATGGAGACCACGGACTCCTATGGATTCACATGCAAAGGAGAACCGAGCCACATGCGAGGAGGACCAGGCACAGCCACAAGGAGGACCAAGCTCAAGGAGCAGGCACAGCCACGAGGAGGACCAAGCTCAAGGAGCAGGCACAGCCACGAAGAGGACCAAGCTCAAGGAGCATGCAGATGGTTACCACTCAGGGGCTCGAGAGACAGGAAGTCGACACAGGTCAAGAGGAGGAGGAGCAGTGTCGAAGGAGTCGACACAGGTCATGAGGAGGAGGAGCAGTGTCGAAGGAGTCGACACAGGTCATGAGGAGGAGGAGCAGTGTCGAAGGAGTCGACACCACTCAAGAGGAACAGGGGTGCCAAGCAGGAGAGGCCCCTGAGCAGTACTCAATGAAGAAAGTACTCTCTGGAGAGAGAGAGCAGGAGCAGCATCGCTGGCGATGCTGTGAAGAGGTATATAACCATGCTTTCTCATCATCATAGGTCGAGTGGATCCCCATCCACTCTACTCACCATAACTAGTTATCACTTCAGCATAAGTATACATTAGTTTCAGTCAGCATAGCAGCAATCTATCAAGGTTGCTCCTCATCGTAGTGTGTGTGTTGTATCACCACTACCTGACGTCCGAAGGCGCCCATAGCAGGTTAGCGGTCCGGATATAGATAGAACCGAAGGCAGTAGTCCACTGCGGTCCAGGGATCACTTCAAGCATCAAGTCAACACACTGGACACTCGTGTTGACGCCACCAACCTTATCACCAACACCATCAACCTCATTATCATCGACGCCACCAACCTTACCATCAACACCATCAACCTCATTATCATCGACATCACCAATCTCATCACCAACACCATCAACCTCATCATCATCAACACCCACACCAGACCTTGGTGTCATCATAACATTGATATTGATCGTGCCGAGCTACCCCTGAACGGAGTGTCCACAGAGGTCAGCCGAAACCTACGATAGTATATACAACGAACGCCACCTGCTGTCACTGCACAACTTGATAGTCACCGATACCGAGACAATAGCTGTCACACAGTTTAATAGTCACCGAGTATCTCGACAGACCGACCTGGGTTTCAGGCGCGAGACCCCTGACAGTAATGAGGTTGATGGTGTTGGTGATAAGGTTGGTGGCATCAACACGAGTGTCCAGTGTGTTGACTTGATGCTTGAAGTGATCCCTGGACTGCAGTGGACTACTGCCTTCAGTTCTATCTATATCTGGACTGCTGACCTGCTATGGGTTGCCTTCGGACATCAGGTAGTGGTGATACAACACACACACTATGATGAGGAGCAACCTTGATAGATTGCTGCTATGCTGACTGAAACTAATATATACTTATGCTGAAGTGATAACTAGTTATGATGTGTGTAGAGTGGATGAGGATCCACTTGACCTTTGATGATGAGAGAGTATGGTTATATACCTCTTCACAGCGTCGCCAGCGATGCTGCTCCTATGGACTCCATCGAGATCATGGGGGCCACTAGGAGCGAGTCATGGTCTGCTGTCTCCTTGAACACTCGAGGAGGCAGTAGTTGCCTCACATTGTGATCCTGCTCCTCACCAGCTGGTTGCATGTCTGTCCTTCTGGTGAGAGCATCGGGTTCACCACCTTTGTCTCCTGGTCGATACTGCAATATGAAGTCGAAGTCTGCTAGTAGTATGGCCCATCGAGCCTGTCGACCTGTGATGCGTCTCTGTGACTTGAAGTACTTGAGGGCTTCATGGTCAGTGAGGATGACCAGTTGGTTCGGTAGTCCAGCTAGCATGTGTCGCCACTGAGTGAGGCAGGCGACCACAGCTAGGAGCTCCTTATCATGGATCTCATAGTTTTTCTCGGCAGAAGACATCTTCCTAGAGTAGAAGGCCACTGGATGCCATCGTCCTTCATGCTCCTGCTTGAGCACTCCTGCTATAGCAAAGTCACTTGCATCAGTCTCCAACCTTGTTGGAAGGTGGTAGTCGAAGTGCTGAAGCACTCCTGCTGATGTGAAGGCCTGGATGAGCTTGTGGAAGGCCTGTTGGGCCTCCTCTGGTAGCTCGAACTTCTTGAACCGTTCTATAGGCTTTACCAGTGCTGTCAAGGGCTTGGCTATGCGAGCAAAGTGGGCTATGAACCTTCGATAGAAGTTGGCAAAACCCAGGAACCTCTGGATGTCATGGATTGACTCTGGCATTGGCCACTCCTTGACAGTGCGCACCTTTTCTGGGTCCATCTCTATGCCCGTTGGCTTGATGATGTACCCCAGGAACTCGACTGTCTTGGTGTGGAACTCACACTTCGACAGCTTAGCAAAGAGCCTGTTGCTCCTTAAGCGAGTGAGGACCTCGGTGACATGCTTCACATGTACCTCTTCAGTGTCACTGAAGATCAGGAAGTCATCTAAGTATACCACTACATATACTCCAATGATGTCTCGGAAGATGTCATTGATGAATGACTGGAAGTGAGCCGGAGCATTGGCTAGGCCAAAGGGCATCACTAGGTACTCATAGAGTCCCAACTGAGTGCCAAAAGCTGTCTTCCATTCATCTCCTTTAGCAATCCGGATGAGGTTGTATGCTGCTCTAAGGTCCAGCTTGGTATAGATCCTTGCCTTCCTGAGTAAGAACAGCTGCTCCTCGATGAGGGGCAATGGTGCCCTGTTCTTGACAGTGATCTCGTTGAGACCTCTGTAGTCCACACAGAGTCTGAGACCTCCATCCTTCTTTGGTACGAAGAGCACTGGTGATCGTGCCGGGCTCTTCGATGGTCTTATGAACCCCTTCTCGAGGTTCTCATCCAAGTATCTCCTCAACTCGGACATCTCCTTGGGTCCCTTAAGGTATAGGGGCCCTTGAGGTGGCTTCCCTCCTTCTATCAACTCGAGGTGGAGATCATGCTCGGTATGATGGGGCAGCTTGTCTGCTTCCACCTCATCAAACACATCTTGCAGGTGTTGGTATGGCTTTGGTATGTCTGCAGCCGTCACCACCTTATCTACCTCCACCTCCATCTCGACTCCTTTGTCTGCGCCTGTAGGTACAAAACCAAAGGCCGGGAGTGATGATGGTGGCTCCTCTAACAGCATGAACCCTATGGGTCCATCTTCCAGAGCTGCTCGTAGTATGCGCTCTGCTGAGACAAACTCGTTACCATGAAGGGTTGGTCTCCTCATGGTTAGGTCCCCTGCTCTTGCTGCTTCAGGGGGTCTCCTAGGGGGTCGGTCCTGCTCCTGAGTCTTGAACTCCAGCTGGCCCGTATCCCATTGTATGGTGGGTTTGAGCCTCCGTAGCTCAGTGAACCCCAGGATGAGGTCATAGTCTGCAGTGTCGGCCACTGAAGCTTCGACCACACCCAGATTGTGTGTACCAATAGATACCTGCATGCTCGCAGAACTATTGATGGAGAGTTGGTGCCCGGTGACACCATGGATCGATCTTGTTTTTATGGGTTTTGTGGGTATTTGGTACTTACTAATGAAAGAATCTGAGACTATGGACAAACCAGCACCGGTATCAGCTAGTATCCGAGCAGGATGGTCTTGAACCATTCCAGAGAGCTCCAGTACTGCTTTGCCTCCACTGGTAGAGAAACATACTTGACAATCTTGATATATACAGAGTGATGGCGAGGAGGTTTGTAGAGCAATGCATGCCATCAGTGCATCACCCCACTGACGTTTCCCTCGTCGTCATCATCATCGTGCTCCTCCTCGTGATCGGGGTCCATGGGTTGCTGGTATGAGCTGAGGTCCATGGCCTCGGGGTCACCCATCTCAGTGCTGCCTGTGTGGCCATCTCCTGAGTCGGTGGCCTCCTCGAAGGGGTCTGCTGTGGTGACCATAACCTTTGGTCCCATGGGTCGAGAGCTAAGAGGGTTTACCCTCCTGCTGGGGCAGTCTCTGGCCCAATGGCCGATACCCTTGCATACATGACAGGTGTTGATACCTGATGGAGCAGGGCTTCCTTGCTTCGAGGGTTGGGTGGGATGATGAGGAAGGGGTCGGTTTAGGTTTTGTATAGTTGCTTGTGTAGTTGCTTGTGATGGTGATCGAGCTGGATAAGGTTGAGTGGGTTGTCGGATGGGGATTGAACTTTGATTTGGCCGAGACCCAGTTCTTAGTGGAGGTGACGTGGCATTTGGAAGTGAGTGTCTAGCCGAGGACTGCTGTAGTAGCATCCTCTGTCGATCGATCTCCTCGACCTCTCGATACCACTCCCATCTCTTCCCAGGTGGATTCCTCTCGAACTTCTCCTGTATGCTACGAGTGAGACTACCTCTGAAGAGATCAATCACTAGCTCATTGTCATCTAGGTTGACCTGTCCTTCCAAGTCTCTGAACCGCTCTACATGACGTGTGGCAGCACCAGGAGCATCACTTGTGAGTCTGAGAGCCAACAGCTTGTTGTATGCCTCCATCCTAGCATTGCGTGGGTTGAACTGCTCTGACAGTCGCTCTGTGAAGTAGTGCCAATCATTGAACAACCTTCCTTCTCTAGCTCTATCAATACGGAGCTTGGAGGTCCACCACTCTCTTGCTGTCCCTTCCAGTTGAGCACCCATGTGATTGATCATCCTAGACTGCTCATACACCTGGTTGAACTTAAACCATGCTTTGGCTTCTAGAATGAAGATCTCCATGTCTCGGGGATTGAACTTTGGAAAGGGGGTGGCGATGGGCTTTGACCGGTTAAGCTCTGCCATGATGCTGGTATCCTCCTCGTGGTCCAGGGGGTAAGGGTCCGTCCTAGTCCTGCTGTAGGGGTCCAGCTTAGTCTTGACATATCTTGGCCCAGTAGGTGAAGCATACTTCTCATAGTTGATGTCCTCCTGCTCATCCAGGTTGAATGAGACTGATCGTCTTGGTCGTGGAGCCGGAGTAGGAGTATGTGGGTCTCCTATCATAGACTCATCTCCTCCTCCTGCTTGGTCTTCCGAGTGAGGGAGGTCCATTGTCTCCTCCCTACCCAGCTGAGCTCGTTGTAGTCGTTCCTCTCGATGACCCTGCCTAGTAAGCTCTAGCTGAGCTTCCAATAGAGTGAGTAGTCTATCGAGCTTATTGTTGAGGTCTGGGTCTGTCATGGTGATTGTGAGGAGCTGCTTGAACGATCCACTCTAATGTCAGGGGTCTCGCGCCTGAAACCCAGGTCGGTCTGTCGAGATACTCGGTGACTATCAAACTGTGCGACAGCTATTGTCTCGAGATACTCGGTGACTATCAAGTTGTGCAGTGACAGCAGGTGGCATTTGTTGTATATACTATCGTAGGTTTCGGCTGACCTCTGTGGACACTCCGTTCAGGGGTAGCTCGGCACGATCAATATCAATGTTATGATGACACCAAGGTCTGGTGTGAGTGTTGATGATGATGAGGTTGATGGTGTTAGTGATGAGATTGGTGATGTCGGTGATAATGAGGTTGATGGTGTTGGTGATAAGGTTGGTGGCGTCAACACGAGTGTCCAGTGTGTTGACTTGATGCTTGAAGTGATCCCCGGACCGCAGTGGACTACTGCCTTCGGTTCTATCTATATCCGGACCGCTAACCTGCTATGGGCGCCTTCGGACGTCAGGTAGTGGTGATACAACACACACACTACGATGAGGAGCAACCTTGATAGATTGCTGCTATGCTGACTGAAACTAATGTATACTTATGCTGAAGTGATAACTAGTTATGGTGAGTAGAGTGGATGGGGATCCACTCGACCTATGATGATGAGAAAGCATGGTTATATACCTCTTCACAGCATTGCCAGCGATGCTGCTCCTGCTCTCTCTCCAGAGAGTACCTTCTTCATCGAGTACTGCTCAGGGGCCTCTCCTGCTTGGCACCCCTGTGCCTCTTGAGTGGTGTCGACTCCTTCGACACTGCTCCTCCTCCTCATGACCTGTGTCGACTCCTTCGACACTGCTCCTCCTCCTCATGACCTGTGTCGACTCCTTCGACACTGCTCCTCCTCCTCATGACCTGTGTCGACTTCCTGTCTCTCGAGCCCCTGAGTGGTAACCATCTGAGCTTGGTCCTCCTCATGGCTGCGCCTGCTCTTTGAGCTTGGTCCTCCTCGTGGCTGTGCCTGGTCCTCCTCGCATATGGGCTCAGTGCTCCTTTGCATGTGAATCCATAGGAGTCCATGGTCTTCATGGAGACTGCACTACGACCATGCTCTCTACTGGTATCGACTAGGTCTTCGATACCTGTGCTCCGTCCATATGAACCAGTGACCCTCCTGCTTCTTGAGCATCCAGGCCCATGACAAATCCCTTAACCACATGTCAGGCCCTGTTGCCAAGCCCCTTGATCATGTGGTTGCCCCTGTGCTTGGTCCTATGTGGCTGTATGCACATACCCCTTGAGTGGTAACCATCTGCATGATGCTGAGCTTGGTCCCTGCTCCTGCATGTGGTTATCTCCCATATGCTTCTCCTTCTAATGCCAGTATCCTCCTTCCTGAATCTCCTGATGCTTGCTCATGATGGCTGACTTGCTGAGACATGCTGATCAGGCTGATTTCAATTGATCCTTGTGAGATTAACCAGGATCCCAGAGTTCAGTTGATCTCACAAATCATATGTGCTACCAACCCAATTAGATTGTCAATTCCTGATGATTGCTGCAGATCAATTTGGTGCACACTTCATATGCTGACCCTGTGACAACCACCTCCAACACTTTCTCAAGGGTGTGAGCAAAATCACAGTCATAACTGAACATGCTCCCCTTGGTGCAGTCCTTTGAGGCAACTCACCGAGCTTGCACCAGTCCACCCCTTGCATTGAATGGTTTCAGGCCTACTTGATGCCCTTCCTCGACTTGATGGAATTTGTTCACAAGCCTGGCAGGCAACATTCCAATGCCAACACTCTCTCATGCCTGTCAGCTCAACACAACCTTCCTGACCACAACCAACTTTCATAGCTTTCCTTGAAGCCCTCGTCTCATGTCATGTGGCACCTTCCTGTTCGGTCTCAATCTAGCACTTCCTATCTGTCTGCCTCTAACAACCTTCCCATGTACATATAAACCATCTGTTGGGAGGGGGCGATGTATTGCGTCACGCTCATCCTGGCCTCTCGGCTGGGATGTTCGTGGCCGCGAAGAGAGCTCACTCTCGTCATGTCATGCTCATCTTGGCCTCTCGGCCGGGATGTTTGTGGTCAGACGAGATATCACTCTCATCGTCGCTAAGCCTCGCTACCTTCTGCAATATCATCGATTCACAACATCATCTTGCGACTGCTCAGCAGCACAATCGTACTCCGACTCTCACCGATCGCCAGTCATCGGGACCCGTGCGATCCACTTTTTCTCAGTCGTAAGGTCTTGATTCTACCGATCCTGACAAACTCTGTCGTAAGATCTCGATCATACCGATCCCGACGAACTCTGTCGGAACCCACTACTCGCCCGATCCCGCGATTCTTGCGCTTCTCATGCGGGACCAGTTCTTCTGCGCATCCGGTCCTATGACAGCATATTGCCTCCTTCCATATGTCTTCCTCGCCACCAGTGATGGCGACAAGCCTCTTATAACCGTCCCTTCGATCCTATGAGGTCGCATGACTCTCGATGCATCAATGACCTCTTTTCGCAAAGCGACTTGTGAAATCTGTCGTATGGGCTCGTTCTGAACGATTTCAGTGAAACCGGTCAGAAACCCATGACTCCACCGATTTCACATTTCGTGCGCACTGCGCATCCAATGTGTGTCTACGGTCTTCTGCGCAGGCCCTGTGACACGTAGTGGCTCAAAGTATGATAGCGACATCGAAGCTCTCACGCCACACGACTCTGGCTTCGCAAGGCCCGACCAATTGAATGTTGCTCTCGGGACACCCGTCCGGATGCGAACAGGAGACACGAGCTTCTCAGTCACGCTTCGCAACCTGGTCTCTTATATTGAATTGCATAAAGAAAAGTCTATGATCTCATCTGTTTGAAAACTTTGTGTTTTCTAGTTGGCGGAACCACGTCCGATAGCCTTCATCTCAGCGCCGATGTTGGCCAACTTGGGCAAAGGTTCGGCATCACTCGATGAAGGAGGTGGCAAGAAGCCAACAGCCAGCAGCCAAGCGAAGTACAAGCCCACAAGCGAGCGGCCGACACCCATGACGGTATTTTGCGCCTGACCCTCCGATGCCGCATCCAAGATCGCCTGTGTATGGCGATCGTCCAGCTCAGGCGACTTGGTCGATGTCGGCAAGTCATCTAGAACAAAGTGAAGCAGAGGGAAGAGTGCATTGTCCTCGACAGAGTCTGATCCGCTGCTGAGAACGTGCTCCTCGAGTCTCGCTCGCCAGTGCACGTATTCGGTCTGTTCGACCTTCCAGCCGTATCGACTGAGCTGACCGAGCATGTCGTTGAAGCGGATGCTGGGGTGGTTGGTCACGTGGAACACCTTGGCGTTGGTGCCAGGCGTCTTGTTGATCGTCTCGAGCTCCTTAGCGTTGTTGAGGCATGCCAAGGTGGCGATGCGAGCAACGTGGTCGACGGGAACCATGTTGATCGAGTTGTGCATGTCAGGGATGAGACCAAGCTGGATCGAACCCTTGACCAGACGCCAAAGGAAGTCGTCGGTGTTGGTGACAGCGGTCTTGGAGTCACCGACAACGTAACCAGGTCGGACGATCGAAGCCTTGAGGCCGCGAGAAGCAGTGATCATGATAAGCTTCTCAGCGACCCACTTGGACTGACCGTAACCAGTGGTGAGGCCCTTGGCGTTCGCCTCGATGTCGTCGGTCTCGGGAACACCGTGCAGCTGAGCAGACGATCCGGTCTGAGCAGGGTCTTGGCCGTGCACTATCGAGTCTGACAGACGAACGTAGTGGTCCGTGTCGAGAGCCGAAGTACTCGAAACAAAGGTGAAGGTCTTGGCCTTCTTGCCGGCGTTGCAGAGCTTGATGGCGCAAATCGTTGAGCCCACGTTGGCAGCTCGCAGCTTGCTGTACGGGTAGACCCAGTGGACGAGAGCACCGTTGTGCAAGATGTCATCGACCTCGTCAGCTAGCTTGGCATACACCTGCTCAGACATGCCGAGACGCTGAGGAGCAGCCAAGTCACCGAGAACAACCTCGAGCTTGCCCTCGCTCACCCACTTGTCATCCCAAATACCTCTACCTTTGCATCCTTCGCGCAGACGCTGCAGCGCGGTAGCTTCGTCCTTGGCTCGCACGTGGGCGTACACCTTGGCGATGCTCGACGAACGTTTGGTGAGCAAGTCGTACAGAATGAAGGCGCCGAGGAACCCAGTGACACCAGTGACCAAGACGGTTCGAGGGCCCTCGCTGGCGCTGCGCACCTTGTCACCAGCAAACGATTCAGGTAAGCTGGGTGTGAGGGTAGCCACGTCTGCTCCGTAGTTCTCGTCGAGGTTAGTCTCCTCGCTCTGCTTGGTGTTGGACGATGTTGCGTTGGCCTGAGTAGCACCGAGGCCAAGATCAGCCTGTCGAAGCTGGTCGACAGCCTTGGCTAGACCACGCACAGTGGGAGCATCAAAGACAACGCCGAGTGGCACGTTGATGACGAACTGCTTTCGCATCTCGAACACCAGTCGCGTGGCTAGGATCGAGTGTCCACCAAGATCGAAGAAGCTTTCGTCCAATGGTATCGGAGAAGGGGCGTTAGGCAGGAGTCGCGACCAGAGCTCGACGACGGATCGTTCGGTCGGTGTAGCAGAGGTCAGAGCAGCGCCGCTGTCTTTGCTACCCTTGGTAGCTGAACTGCTTGAACCAGCCGCAGCAACCATAGCTGTGTCGGGGAAAGGAAGAGCGGGTTTGTCGATCTTGCCGTTCGGGTTGAGCGGCATCTTGTTGAGCGGCACGAAGAGGGTGGGAATCGAGTAGGCGGGGAGCTTTCTCTTCAGGTGATCGCGGATGTCCTTGATCAGGTTGCGGTAACGTCGCATACCCTTAACAAGCATGGCATCACGAGCAGCTTTTCCCCCTGCAGCGGAGGCAGTAGCAGTGACAGCCTCGTCGTCTTCGGTCAGCTGCTCCTCAAACTCGGCAGCGCCAGGTCCGGGGACAAAGTACGACACCAAAACCTTCTCCTCGTCCTTGTCTCGACGCACCAAGGTGACGTTCTCGCGGACGTGAGGGTGACGAGACAGGTGAGTGTCGATCTCACCGAGCTCGATACGGAAGCCACGAATCTTGATTTGGTCATCGGCACGACCAGTGCACTCGACAGTACCGTCAGGCAAGTATCGACCCAAGTCACCGGTCTTGTACATGCGGTCACGGACGCCCTTCCAGAACTGACCCTCAGGCTTGTCTTTGATAGTGTCGGGGAAGCAGAGGTTGGGGGCGAGGAAGTTGGGCATGAACTTCTCTGCTGTCACCTCGGGAGGGCCGAGATAGCCTTCGGCGAGACCACCACTTCGTACGTAGATTTCGCCTACCTCACCAACAGCACAAGTGGCAGTACGCTCGTTGCGGTTGACGACGAGGAGCTGGACGTTGATCATACCCTGACCAGCTGGCATGATGTCCTTCTGGGTCTGCAAGAAGGTGCTTGAGGTGCTGACAGGAGGGATGGCAAAGTAACTGACGGCACGCTGCGTCTCGGTGGTGCCGTACATGTTGATGATGCATACGTTGGCAGCAAGGGCTTGAAGACGGGTGCAATCACGCTTGGTGAGCACATCACCGACAAAGAAAGCGTTGCGAAGCGAGGGGATCAAAGCAATAGCTTGGGCACTGAGCAACTGACCCATGGCTGGTGTCAAATGGGTGACAGTGGCTTTGCTGGCTGCCATCCACTCAGCAAGACGGCCAGGAGTACCAATGTCCTCGGAGGTAGGGATGTGGAGCTCGGCACCGAAGAACAATGGCGTGAAGATATCTCGCTGGATAGGGTCGTGTGCAATGCCTGACAGCATGGTGAATCGTTCGTGTGCACCGAGACCGAATCGCTCGCCCATCCATGGGAAGAAGTGGGTGAGCGAGAAGTGTCGACCCTTGACACCCTTAGGAATACCAGTCGATCCAGAAGTGAAGGAGAGTGTGCCGACGCTGTCTGGACCGAGAATGACGCTGGTGCTCTCGCCAGCCAGAGACTGCTGCTTCTCTAAAATGTCAGCTGCACCCTGCGATACGGCACCACCACGAAGGGATCCATCGTCAAGCAGCTCGAGAGCTGGGATCTCGGTTCGAAGCTCAAGCTCATCCTGAATGCACTTGCGAACGGTTGGCTGGAGCGTACCAGCCTTGGCGAGGACAATCAAGGCACGGGGCTTGGCGACTTGCAGGTAGATGTTCTGTCGCGAAGGTGGATAAGCAGGGTCGATGACGCTGAAGGTGGCTCCTGCCTTGAGAGTACCAAGAACAGCTACAACAAGGTCGACGCCACGGTGAGCGTAGGTGGTGACAACTTCTTCACGCTGGACACCTGCTTGCAACAAGTGGTGAGCGACGACATTAGAAGCACGGTCGAGCTGTCCGTATGTGATCTCGCGAACACGGCTAGCTGGTGCAGCTGGCTCGGCAGGAGAGCCGGAGTCGTCCGACAGTGATTCGACGATGCATCTTCGGTCAGGGTGAGCCCGTGCGTTGTGTTCGAAGATCTGAGTGATGGCACCCCTGAAGCCGCACCATTCCAGGTCCTTGGTGGGATCGGGGAGGAACGCGTTCTCCTGCGGTGTTCGGATAGGCAAGCTGCCCACTGGCGAGGCAGGGTTGGCTGCAGCGACTGAGATGAGCTGCGAAAGCTGAGCAAGAACCAGCTGCATGCGCTGCGAAGAGAAGATGAGCGAGTTGTAAGAGAGGTGAACGGCGATATTGGGCACAAGTGAGTCTCGGAATGTATGGGTAGCGTTGGCACTAGACGAAGGTGTAGCTGATTCTATAGGTGTTGACTGGCTTGCAGAGTCTTGGCCAGGTGTTGCACCCGGCTTGGTCAGGAATACGGTGAGATCTGTGGTGAGCGAGGTGGATTGCATGAAGTTGCGGGCCTTGCCTCCTGTTTCGTCGAAGAAGCGGACTCGGAAGATGGGAGCGCTCTGAACGCCTTCTGGCAAAGGACCTTCACGCTCTGCACGTTCCGCTTCAACACGCTTGACGATCTCGTCGTAGGGAACAGCATCAGCAGCAGCCTCCTTCTCGACTTGCTGAATGCGTCGAACAATCTGCCAGAATGGGTCGTTGGGTTCGATGGGGATCCTAAGGATCATAGACTCGCCTGTGTATGGGTTCGAGGAGCCAATGACGAGGTCGTTGTCGCCCGTGTATCGATGGAGGAGCACGCAGAAAGCGGCAAGCAGAAGGTGGAAAGGTGTTGGGCTGGAGTTGTCATCGTCGTCTTCCTGAGTATTTTCCGCAGGATGCAGATCGAGCTCATGATGAAGGGCGAGACGAACAAGGTCCTTCCTTGTCGCCGATGATAGCGTGGACGAAGCAAGGGCTTGAACGAGTTGTGATGTGGCTGGTCTAGGGTAGTCGGTGGGCAGGGCGATGCTGGGCAATGACGTCAGCCTCGCTGACCATCGATCCAGACACGCATGTAGATTTGCTGTTGTGGACATGGTTTGTTTCGACTCAAAGCTGATCTGAGAGTCAGGTCTGAGGATTGTGGTAGTGAAGATGAAGGGCGAGAGGCAAGCTTCAACTTGAATATCTTCTTGCTTCTCTCTGCCCGACTCTATTCTGCAACTCAACCTGTGACTTCGGCATTTCGCCGACGCTCGTCCCTCTCCATTTCAAGAAGAAGGCGAGTCACAGAGTGACCAAAAAAAAAAAAAAAAAAAAAAAAAAAAAAAAAAAAAAAAAGTCAACTTTCATCTGTGCTCTCCATCCTTCCAATTTTACTTAAGCATGACTCAGCACAAGATAGCGCTTTTCCAAGAATCTAACAATTTTGGTATTTTCCTTCTCCACATGTTGGTCAGGCAGCTGCCAAACCACGTGGTCTGAGGGCTGAAACAAACGGTCCGAATTGACAGCTCTAACAACTCTCTTAGCGAAGCCGCTAACATATATACTGTACCCAGTACTTTCTCCCGCTGCTTTCTTGTTGTCGTTCCCGTTCCAGCGATAGTCGCATCATCTTCACTTCTTTCCGACTATTCAACCCCAACGCACAGCAAGGAGTAATCGATTGGTCAGGACCGCTGCTAACGTTCTCCGGTCAAGAGCGTGCAACGAGGAGGAAGGGCATTCGTGTGCCTTCTCAAACTGCTTCTAGTTCAGCAACTCTAGCCCTCGTCTTGCCTAATACCATCACGCTCAGTCATACTCAAAGCTCTGGCTCTGTATATTACTGAATCATAATGTACTCACCACCATCGACCTCAACAGTCGGGCCGGCGCCGCCAAATCCGCCGGCGGACAAGAAAGACATTACACGATCAGAATCCGAAGACTTTGCACGTATTGATGCTGCCGACCGCATCCGCTCGGTTGTACGCACCACAAAACTCGAGAAGACTCTCGACGAACAACGTCGCGGAGAAAAAAATGATGCAGCTTCACGCTGGCATAGGGCCGGCTTCATGGCGGAGCAGCTCGGCAAGCAGGATTCTGCACCGGCGCCTGCTGTCCGAGGAGAGGCAGCGAACCGAACAAAGGTGACAAACTCACCTCCAACTTCGCCGCCAGCGACGGTCAACTCCATAACACAGCAACTTCTAGGTTCAAGTTTCCTCGACAAGTTGCCATTCTCATTCAAGAACGAGGCGGAGAAGGAGGAGTTCCTCAAAGAGTCGAAGGTTTTGACCAAACGAATGGAGGATCAGAACTGGCTGGAGATGCTCGATCCCAAGCATCGCTACGGAAGCAATCTCAAGCACTACCATCGATACTGGAATTTGAAAGCTGACACACGGCAAAACTTCCTGCAATGGCTCGACGAAGGAGATGGCAGAGAACTCAGCCTGGAAGAATGCCCAAGGTCGAAGCTCGAGGAAGAACGCATCAGATATCTGACAGCAGACGAAAGGCGCAACTACCTCACTTTCATCGACAATGAAGGCGGTGTACCACCAGTACGGCGCTTCGACCAACTGCGATCACATCTCAAGCCTCATCTAGGCAAGGGCCGCTTACGTTGGTGTCGCACCGGTGAGCTCGTCAACACCTCCAAATATGACCATGGCGATCTTGGAAAGGGACGCGGTATCGCTTTACGGCAGTCCCAGGAGTGGCAAGATGCGATTGCGACAGGCGGGGTATCTGATGTCGTCCGTGACGACAAGATCAAGTACCGCAGGAGCACATCAACAGACTCGTCTTACAGTTTCACTTCTGACTCCAGCTCTTCGGCAGCGGTCGCGTCATTCGATCATGAGCTGTCACCTCACAAGGAGAAACAAGATCCTCAAGTCACTTCTGCATCAAGCAGTCACACGTTCACGCATGGCTCCAAGCCAGTCACAGATCCGGAAGAGAAGCAACAGAGCCGCAGAGAAAAGCTCCTTGAGAAGGCCAATCTCGGCCCCAAGTATCTTCTCAAACACAAACTCGGCCTTTATCCAACCTCAAAGCGTCAGCAAATTGTCCGAGGCCACTCGGATACAGATCACAAAGATGAAGGAAACGAGTTACGTCCAGATGCTCTCATTCGCAGACGTAAGGCAGATACTTGGATCTTTGTGACCGACTTGTCGTACAACATGTACATCGGCATTAAGCAGCGTGGTCGCTTCCAGCATTCTTCACTCCTAGCTGGGTCTCTGGTCACTGTCGCTGGTGTACTTAAGGTCAAGGAAGGCGTCATTGTCTCGATCTACCCATGGAGCGGACACTACCGCTCGTCATCTCAGCACTTTGAAGAGTTTATCCGACGTTTGCAGGAACGTGGTCTCGACACGAGCCAGATCAATGTTACCAAGAACAAGTGGGTGATCGAGGTGGTCAATCGATACGGTATGTATCGCAAGGCAAAGGACCGCAAGGTGAAAGAGTTGAAAGACAGAGCTCATGAAGCTTGGGATTCCTGCACTTCGTTTCAGCCCACCTCATGATCTCTGTCGTCGCAGCTCAAGTTGTGATTCACTAGTGCCGTCCACTTTGACTCGCTCATACAACCTTCTCTCCCGCTAGCGTCCCTGCAATGGACTGCTACATCGCCACTTGCATCCCTGTGTCGCACTGCTTCGTATTGTTGTGACCGTCTCAACGGGCTGCCTTCCAGCGGTCACCGTTGAAGGTGCTCACGCACTGCTTTTTAAACCCACCAACCTGGCGTTGACCGAATTCCGCCGATGATCAAATTGACACCAACTCAAACGCAACGAAATGAAGGTGCCCACCTCACTGGACCTTCGATCGATACTTTCTCAGACTGCGGCGAGTGTGGTTCGTGTCGGTTCAGGATCGGCAAGCTAACAAAAAGGGAAGAGCATACCGCCTGTATGAAACGAATGAGACTGCCCATTCTCTGCCAGCATCCCTCATGTGAGCACCTCATGTAATTTAGCTGGTACAGTGCAGCCAGTCCGTGGGGATCTTTCTAGGGCGACACGAGGTCGAACGGTCGGCAGAAAACAATCGCCACATTGCTAGACCACCCGATTTTATCTGTGGTAATGCAGGTCATCGTCTTCACTTGTTGCCTTTGCATCACTTGCTGGCCCTACGGACCGATTCACAACGCCCACAGGCTGGGTTGTCATGTGTTGCACTCCTGCCTGTAACAAATGAAGGGCGGAGCAATTGTGTCTCATCAAAACAGCGACATCGTGCTGGAGGTCGACCCGAGATTTCCCCACCGAAACCCACTTCAATCAAAGGCTACTTAAGCTGAGTCGAACAGCATCGGCCCTTCTCCCTCCTTTCCGTCTTTGCCTCTCCTACAACGACTAGTCGACCGCCTAGGACTGCGAACACGATAGTCCTAACTCGTCTCCTCTTTCCTCTGATTCTTTTACCAAATTCACCACATCTGCTAGCCAGATCAAGGTACATCACAATCTTTATCACTTAGACTACGTCCTCCTCGCGTTAATCACGATCAACCTTCTCTTTTTCTTTAGGAGTGTAAGTATGCCGACCTTTGCCGCGTCTCGTTGACGTGTGACAACTCTGTTTCGTTTCAGCTATTAATTACAGTAACTGACCTGATTTTAGTTTGACATTTGCAACTCGACAATTTCTGTTTGCGTCATTTCTCAAACAGCAGCCGAGTGACCATCTTGAGCCATGAAGGTTGCCCTCCTCTCCGCCATTGTGTTTGGCGCCATCTCGGCTGCCGCTTCATCGTCGCATGTCCTGGCAGATGAGTACTATCTCCAGAATTTTGCTCATGCTCACTATCCTTCGTACTCTTCTGCTAAGAAGAGTACGAAGAAGAGCAAGGACTTTAAATCAGAGTATCAACACTCTGAATATCAATCCGAGCACCACTCTAAGCACCATATCAGCAAGACGGCTCCTCTCCTCCTGAAGCGAGTCAATGCAGGAAACACCTTAGAAATCGGCGAGAGTGCTGCCAATGTCATTAAGAGCGCTTTGGAGGGCGGCAAGAAGAGTGGTGACACCATCATCAACCACTATGGTACTTCCACCTCCGAGAGCCTTGGAGGCCACTTTCATCCTGGATCTGGTGGCAACCCTCAAGCCTACTCTCCTTACGCCCATCCTCCTTACGCCCATCCTCCTTACGCCCATCCTTATCCGCCTCCTCAAGCCGCCGGCGGTACGGACGCTCTTTTGCACGCCAAGATCGACAAGATTGGTCGTAAGTTCACAAAGCTCAAGGGCGCCCAGATCGAAAATACTAAGCAAATCCAGATTATACAAGAAATGCAGGCTAGAACTATGATGGAGGAACAAGCTGGCGGTGCTCGAGGCGCTACTGCGGCTAAAGGCGCTACTGCGGCTAAAGGCGACCCCGAGGCTCAGCAAAAAAAGCGTAGCTTTGGAAAGGGATCTATGTTCCTCACTGCCGCTGGTGGTTTAGCCGCTGGTGTGATAGGAACTAAGATGCTTGACAGCAAGCCTGCTGTTCCTGACACTGCCTACAGCCCTCAAGACATGGCTGCCATTCAGCAGGCTAGCGCCGGCACTCCAGGTGGTGCTACCATCGACGGTCCCACTGCCCAAGGAGGCCAAGGTCAAGGTGAGAGCCAGGGTGGTGGAGGCGGCGGAAGTGGCGGAGGTCAGCCAGAATTCTTGGGTCCTTACTTCGACCAGGCTACTCAAACCAGGTACATCATTGACGGAGAGGGATACTATCACTTCCTAGGCTCAGGCAACCATGAAATCAGGCCCCCTCCCGGCTGGTCCAAAAATGGTCCTGTGCGTGATGACGGTAGCGGCGGTGCAGAAACCGATGACGGCAGTAACGGTCAGCAGGAAGCTGCTGGTGGCGCTGCTGGAGGTGGCGCTGCTGGAGGTGGCGCTGCTGGAGGTGGCGCTGCTGGAGGTGGCGTTGCTAGAGGCGCCGATAGTGGACCTGCTGCTGGCTTCCCTCAAACTTCGGCCAATGGCGCTGATGTTGCTCCTCAGCGGGACAGGCAGTTCCCTTCCTCAGCCGAAGGCGGTCAGAGCGACTCTTCTAACAAGCCTATCTGGGATAATACGATCAAGATGTACTACGTGGTCGGACCCAACGGCGTCAAGTTCTACATCGACACCGAAACAGGCTATCTGGTCAACTCGGTCACCCTGGATATCAGCGACCCCAAGACGGGCCAGATCATTATGAGCGGCAAGGACGTTATGAAAGGCAGTTCAACTGGTCCTGGAGGCGCCGCTGGTGGCAATGCTGGCGGAAATGCTGGCGGAAATGCTGGCCGTATGAAGAAGCGTTCAATTCGACACCATCAGGTATGATCCTACTTTTCCCGATCCTATGTTTCTCTTCGACGCTGTTCGCCTTTAGCGAGCAAACATCTTTGGCTTCATTTCCTCGTGTCCTTTCCGTCATCTCCGAAGCGACCGAATCTAATCCACAATACTATCCTATTTTGCCTGTTTTGCTGTTGCTTTGCGTCGATACAGTTCCACAAGCGCTCATATGAGCAAGCTGCTTTATAGTGAGTACCATTGCCTGACATCAGCCTGTGCTTGGGTCTGACAAAGCTAACCGATTACTCTCTTGTGTCAACAATACTCTGAACAGCGCCCAAAGTCCGGCACTGAGGGCCCAGGCAAGGATCGCTATGTTACGCGACTCGGGTCGTCTGCAACCAACTGTCTCCGCCGCTGCCCGAAAAGCAGGCATTGGAAAGACTCTCGTCAAAGTTGGTTTAGGTGCTGGTCTTCTCATCGGAACTGTGTTGGCTGTGGGCGCTTATGCCCATCCTAACCGACCCGGCACTTCGCCTGACAACGAGTACGGTCTGGTTCCAACATCAATCTGCGATGTCTACGGCGAACCGATCGTGCAAGACTTCCGTAAGGTGCTGTGGAACAAGTCGACACTCACGCGCCTGGATCCAAATAATCTTCCTCCGTTGCATACATGCTCGAAGCAAGAGTTGGAGGATGCAGGCGTGTCTACGGAGCAACAGGGAGCTATGCAGAAGCGCGACTCGGTCGAGAGCAAGTCTGTAAGTATGGCGAGCGATGCACATGCTGCTAGTATAAGAGGGTATACTGACGACAGCTTTTATATGTGTGCCGTGAGCAGGACCAAATGGCTAAGCTCGTTCAAGATGCCAAGGCTGATCATTCGGAACACAACCTGCGCAAGCGTTCCGAAACGAACACCAAGGAACGAGACCATTCTTTGGAGAAGCGACAAGGTGAAGGTGCTGTGGCCTCCACAGTCGCTAAGGGTGCCGGACTCGCCTTCCTACCTTCCATCGGCTGGGCTGGTGCGGCGGCAATCGGAGCCACTGCCCTTGTCACTGCTATCTACCTGCACAACATTCACAAAGAAAAGGAGCTTGCAGCTATGCAGGAATGGAACAGCCAGTATCACTCCGCCGGTGAAGCTGCCAGCTCTGTTGGCAATGCGATCAGTACGGGCGCCAATGGTCAACTCTTCAATCCTCTAACTGGCAGTTTGATTATGGTGGATCCCAACACTGGTTTGTACTATGACGCGAGCACTGGTGAACAGGTCAACCCCAAGACCGGCATGCCGTCCAGGTATGGTGGTGAAGACAGTTCCCAGCAGCAGCAACAGCAGCAGGCTCCTCAACTGCCTCTTGACAACGCTGGTAACATGTCAGGCAACTCGCCTGAAGTGCAAAAGGCTATGGAGCAGTGGAATTTGATGTCGCCACAGCAGCAACAACAGCTGTTGAACCAGTATGGAAGTGCTGCTCAGCAAATCCTCGACTCTCCTGATCCAAACGCTGCTCTGCAAGCTTGGTCGCAGCAACAAGCTCAACAGGCTCAGGCAGTGCAGCCTGTCGTCACGCAACGTGGTCCTGTCATTCCACAGTCGCAGCAGCAGCAACAGCAACTACCGCCTTCACGATACAACATGGCTGTTAGCAACACCGCAAGCAGCTACGATGGTGCTGGTGGTGGCGCAGGCGCCGGACCTGCCATGTGAACTGTTCGACACTGCGTTGTTATGTGGTCGAATCTCCAAAACTTTGCACATCTGAACCTTCTTACAGTATACATATATTCATCACTTCTTTCATCGCTCAGTAGATCTCACTTTCCCTTTTTCTGATTCGTCCTGTTCCATAATTACACAGTCTTTTTCTCGAAACGCTCCCGTCGGACATCGCTTGTTCGGTAATGCTTTTGAGCTGCTTTCGTTGTGTAGGAGGCCTGTGCGGCGTATCGGCTCGTATCAGGCCGGTTATCGCGAGGCCTTTGTTGCATCGTCAAGCATCTCAGGTAATTCAGATAGTCCATCATCTGGATGCACCATCATTTGTTAACACTTTTACTGAGATCAGGTTTGCATTCGAGTCCAGAACATAGAGTACATTGTTTAATGATACTTCATGGCCATTCATGTTCAGCATGACCTGTCCAATTGCTATGATGTGAATTCTCATCCCACTGGCAGTCTTCACAAAACTGGTGCAAGGAGTAGGGGAAATGAGATTTGATTTGTTGTTTGTAACATGATTGGTGGCTCCTGAGTCTACAATCCAATTGGTGGACTGATGATCTAGGGAGACATGGTAAGCAGATTCGATGGTGCACCTGTCCTATGTGGGTGTCTGGTTTGAGGTGGGGTCTGTTGTGGACATCCCCTCTTGGATCTTCTTTGGGCAATACCTGGATATGTGGTTCTTGGCGTTGCAGTGGTAGCAACGTCGGATTCAGGTCTGGGTTTACCTCGGCAGTATGCCTCTTCATTTTGGACTTGTCTGTTGGCTAGGTTCACTTGAGCTACCTTGACATTGCCAGCCCTATGATCTGTCCGAGTGGTCATGCTGTCCTGTCTTTTGCATAGTGCAGCACAAAGCACTTCATAATCTGATGCCATTCTGGTGTCATCAAGGGTGATGACACAGTGATGGTAAGGGGTGATGTACTTGGCCTGGTCAATGAATGTCTTGACTTTGAGGATTTATGGGAGGGCATGGCCCATAGATTCCACCTTGGCCCAGTGCTTGTTGATGTCTGCAATGAGCTTGCAGATGTTGGCCTGAAACATGCAAATCTTCCCAACTTTGTTGAGTAGGGTCAACTTGGCAATCTTTTCCATCTTTGTGAGGTCTTTCTTCAATCAGCCATAGAGATTGTGTAGGCTCCAGGGCTCTGAGTTAGTGGGTTGTGTGAAAAGGTAGTTTACATTGTCATTTCTGGCGAGTAAGGCACTGCTTTGGTGGATAGTGCATAGCTTGCCATCAAGGGCACAATCTTGCTTTTTGTCTCCAGGAGCCACAATGCTGTCAAGATGCTTCATGGCTGCTGGCCAGTTGGATAGGATGCCTCTGAACCAGGGGTTTCAGGCATACCAATTCTTGGTTGTAAGCTTTGGCACCCCCTTGAGGGTGTTGTGAGTGCATGATAGTCTTTGGTGGAAGTTGGAGCAGTGTGAAGGTTTCTTGTATGTGTTGGCATTCTTTGCTTTGTTGCACTTGGTGAGCTTGATGAGCATGCCTTTAAGCACTTTGGGGTTGAGGTTGGAGATAGTATTAATGTCATGTGTTTCATCACCATCGTGTCCTGGGACCAGATGCGCAGGAAGCAAGAAGATCCGGAGTCATATGAAGAGGAGTGCAGAAATCATGGGATCAGGCTAAGCAAGAGCTTAAGGAAGAGTTCACTGAGATCAGTAGTAGAAATGGCTCTATGGAAGAACTCACCAGGATCAGTAGGAATGAGGTTGTTACCACAGAGTTCAGTGGGAAAGGTAATACCATGCTCGTACGACAGACCTCACGAGGATCGGTTCGAGAGATGCTGTCATGGGACAAGATGGATGTGCAGGAAGAACTGGTTGTCAGGGGTCTCGCGCCTGAAACCCAGGTCGGTCTGTCAAGATACTTGGTGACTATCAAACTGTGTGACAGCTATTGTCTCAGTATTGGTCTCGATGAGCTAGTTGTTTGGCAACTATCAAGTTGCACAATGACAGCAGGTGGCATTTGTTGTATATACTATCATAGGTTTTGGCTGACCTCTGTGGACACTCCATTCAGGGGTAGCTCAGCATGATCAATATCAATATGTAGGTTATGATGACACCAAGGTCTGGTGTGAGTGTTGATGATAATGAGGTTGATGGTGTTGGTGATAAGGTTGGTGGCATCAACACAAGTGTCCAGTGTGTTGACTGATGCTTGGAGTGATCCCCAGACCACAGTGGACTACTGCCTTCAGTTCTTTCTTAATCTGGACTGCTGGTTTGCTATGAACTGCCTTCAGATGTCAGGTAGTGGTGATACAACACACACACTACAAGGAGGAGCAACCTTGATAGATTGCTACTATGCTGACTGGACCTAATATATACTTATGCTGAAGTGATAACTAGTTATGGTGTGTGTAGAGTGGATGAGGATCCACTCAACCTTTGATGATGACAAAGTATGGTTATATACCTCTTCACAGCATTGCCAGCAATGCTGCTCCTGCTCTCTCTCCAGAGAGTACCTTCTTCATCAAGTACTGAACAGGGGACCTCTCTAGCACCACTCCTGTCCTCCTTGAGCTATCTGCACCTCTGTGCCTCTTGAGCTGTGTTGACTCCTTTGACACTGCTCCTCCTCCTTGCTATCCTGCTTGCTTGGCACCCCTGTGCCTCCTGAGTGGTGTCGACTCCTTTGACACTGCTCCTCCTCCCCAGGACCTGCTTGCCAGTTTCCTATACACTGCTCCTTCTCCTTTGACTGGTGATGGTTCCTTTGGCTCTTGTCTCTCGAGCCCCTGAGTGGTAACCATCTGTATGCTTCTTTGAGCTCGGTCCTCCTTGTGGCTGTGCCTGCTCCTTGAGCTTGGTCCTCTTCATGGCTGTGTCTGGCCCTCCTCGCATATGGGCCCAGTCCTCCTTTGCATGTGAGTCTGTAGGAGTCCATGGTCTCCATGGAGACTGCACTATGACCATGCTCTCTACTGGTATCAACTAGATCTCCAATACCTGTGCCCCTTCCATATGAACCAGTGACCCTCCTGCTTCTTGAGCATTCAGGCCCATGACACTGGTTTCATATGAAGAGGAGCACAGAAATCGTGGGATTGGGCTAGATGGGAGCTTATGGCAGAGTTCACTGAAGTCGGTAGTAGTAATGACTCTATGGCATAACTTGTCAAGATTGGTAGGAACATGGGTCCTCCTATGAGGGTTGGTAGGACTAGTAATATCATGCTCGTGACATAAGATCTCACAGGAATTGGTTTGGGAGAGGCCTCTATCACCAATAGGGCAAGAGAATGACAACAAACAAGGAGAGGTTGCCACTGGATGAAGGAGGGGTCCAACCAGGTGATGAACTTAAGGTAGACCAGTGGGCAAGATAAGTAGGAGCATGCATTGTCACTCAGATGAAGTGGGACTAACCCCTGATGGAGAAGAGACAGCAAGGGGCCCATCCACCCACAGGAGACAAGGGAGGAGGTGCCAACAAGTAGCATCACAAGGTGGTTGGAGAGCAAAGGAGGCATGAGGAAAGGGAGCAGTGTCACAGGCGACACTGCAAGACAGGTATATAACCATGCCCCTCATCATAGCAAGGGAGTGGATCCCCATCCACTCTACACCATACACTACTAGTTATAGCTTTCACATAAGTATACATTAGTATTTAGTCAAGCAGTAGCAATCATAAGACATTGCTCCTATCATAGTGTGTGTGTTGTATCACCACTCATTGACATTGATTGACATCTGAAGGCAGTTCATCCAGTGATCTGGCTCTCTCTATCACTAGAACTGAAGGCAGTTGTCCACTGCAGTCTGGGGATCACTTCAAGCACTCAGTTGACACACTGGACACTCATGTCAGTGACAACAAGCATTACTCACACCAGACCTTGGTGTCATAGCAACCCATCCATTGTTATTGATTGTGCTGAGCTACCTCTGGACAGAGTGTCCACAGCAGTCAGTTGAAATCTGTGATAGTGACCAATCTATCACATATTCGAGTGAGAAAAGTCATAGAGGCCTTCTACAGCAGATCTCAATCAAAATAATAATACATGGGACTTTACCATATATCTCGATGGGATCTGTAATAGAAGCGGTTCTACTACAGATATCAGGTTTCAGGTGCATGACCTCTGACACATCGTTGTCATTGTTGTCAGAGTCGTAGCGTACGGGGGTTTCTGTACCAATCAGCATTTGCTTGCATGGTGCAGCGGGGGGCCTTTCTTCGCGCCCATCAGATAGATTGCTGCTTTCAGCGTCGGAGTCGCAGATGCATGGGGGCATGTTGGTTCGATGGATTTGGCAGAGACGGGCCCTTTTGTAAGCAGTCGTGTGCCTGAAACCAGGTTGGGTGTTTCTGATTGGTTTTGGTGAGATCAATTGAGTAAGATCTACTCAGTATGTTTTGACTAAAAGTAACCAGACAGCTTTGTACTGGTAGGTCTTGGCTGACCACCTTGAACCCTCCATTCAGAGGTTGCATGGCACATCTGTTTATTCTTTGGAGGGAGAGTAGTATACTCTCCTTACAGTATGAGTGTTTGTAGTACTGTTGCTAATGCTCTCTAGTGTCATCTGGACTGTGATATGCCTATTGCCTACAGAGGACAGGAGTTACTGGACTGCAGGTGTTGGACACTGCCTACAATAACTGACTGGACTGCAGATGTTGAGCAACACTGCCTACAGTAAGGAACTGGACTGCAGGTGTTGAGGAACACCACCTACAGTTGACACCTAACAGTGATACAACACACACATATGAGGTGTCATTGCAAAGCCCTGCTATTGCAATGATACGTAACTATGAGTCAAGTAAAGAGTATGTAAAGTATAGAGTGGATGAGGATCCACTCATATGCTATAGTAGAATGAGAGTATTTATGCATTTGCTTGGTGTCACCTGTGACACCTTTCCTACTTCTCCTGAGAGGCCTTTGCCTCCTCTCAACACTCTCTCTCCTGCTGGTGTTGCTTCCTTTGATGCTGTGCCTCTACTGCTTGCACAGCATATTGGTTTTTGTGATACTGCCCCTTTGCCTCCATCCTCTTCTTTGCCTGGTGATGTGTGTCGACCCCTTTGACACAGCCCCTCCTCCTCGTAGACAATCCCCGGTCTGCTTGACACAGCTCCTTCTTGTCACGGGTCTGAATGCGCTGGAAGCAGGAAGATCTGTCGATTCATATGAAGGGAGCGCAGGAATCAAGGAATCGGGCAGATCGTAGGATTTGCAGCAGAGTTCACTGAGATCTGTAGTAGAGACAGCTCTATTACAGATCTCACCTAGATTGGTGCAAGCAAAGTTGATATCATGAATCCTGCCAGAATCTGCAGTAAGCATGATTGTATGGCAGATTCTGCAGAGATCAGTGGCAAAGATGGTTGTATGGTGAACTTCACATGCAAAGGAGGACCAAGCATTGCCAAGAAGGGGACCGAGCTCAGAAGCATGCAGCTGTTTACCACTCAGGGGGTCACAAGATGAAGACCAGGAGAACTGTCGCCAGTGGGAGGAAGAAGAGCTGTGACAAGGACACTGGCAAACAGGTTATGAGGAGGAAGAGCAGTGTTGAGGGAATCGACACCTAGTTCAAAGAAGGACAGATAGGAGGGAGGAGGAGGAGGGGCAGTGTTGTGGGTGATGCTGCAGGCATGGTATATAACCATGCTCCTCATCACAACAAGTGAGTGGATCACCATCCACTCTATACCATATCAACTAGTTAATACTTCAAGCATAAGTACATATTAGTTTCAGTCAGCTTAGTCACAATCAAGTAGATTGCCTCTCATTGTAGCACATGTGTTGTATCACTGCTCACTGATGTCTGAAGGTGGTTCATAGCAAACCAGTGGTCCAGATTCAAGATAGAACTGAAGGCAGTAG